TTTTACAAATTGAAGGTTTATGGCAACTCCAAGCTGAGCAAGTCTATCAGTGTCATTTTTCCAAAAGCACTAGCTTACTTTTAAATCTCAGTAACATTTTGGTAATTCTCACAATATTTCAAACTTTTTAATTATTATAATATTTGTTATAGTGATCTGTGATCTTTGATATTACTATTACAAAAGGATTATTACTCACTGAAAGCTCAGATAATGGTTAGAATTTTTTAGCAATAAAGTTTTTAAATTAAGGTCTGTAAATATATATGAAACGGTAGTGAAAGTGTTAGTCGCTCAGTGATGTCCAACTCTGTGTGACCCCGTGGACTGTAGCCTGCCAGGCTCCTCTGTCCATGGGATTCTCCAGGCAGGAATGCTGGAGGGGGTTAGCTCCCATTCCCTTTCTCCAGGGATCTTCTCAATACAGACATAATACCACTGCACACTTAACTTTTATATGCACAAGAAAATAAAAATATCTGTGTGACTCACTTTCCTATATTCACTTTACTGCTGTTGTCTGGAACTTAACCTCCAATACCTCCAAGGCATGCCTGTACTCTGCTTACAATAATGAATAGAACAACCCGGCAGGAGACAAGTAAGGAAAGAGAGGACTTCACATAAAACCGACTAGATCTAACAGACACACACAGAATACTCTATCCAACAACAATAAAAACACATTCTTCTCAAATCCACAGGGCCTATTTTTCAAGAGAGAACATATGTTAAGCTGTAATTAAGTCTCAATAGATTTTAAAAAACAGATATCATATGAAGTATCTTTCTCTGACAACAATGGGATGATGTTATAAGTCAGTAACAGAAGGAAAACTGGAACACTCACAAAGTTATGGAAATTGAATAACTTTTAAAGACTCAAATTACCCAATCAGCAATGAAAGTGGGGGCATCACTACCTATTCTACAGAAAGAATTTTAAGAGACTACTATGAACAAATTGTACGGCAAAAAACTGGATAACCGAGATGAAATGGACAAATTCCTAGAAACACAAAACCTACCAAGACTAAATCACAAAGAATTAGATAATCTGACCAAATCTCCTAGTAAGGAGATTTAATCAGTAGTCAACAAACTCCCAACCAAAATCAATTTCTAACAAGGAAAAGTCATGGAAGTGATGGGTTTACTGGTGAATTCTACCAAACATTTAAAGAAGAACTGATACCAATCCTCCTCAAACCTTTCCAAAAAAACTAGAGAAAACACTCCTCAACTTATTCTATGAGACCAGCATAAACTTGATACCAAAGACAGATAAAGACACTAAAAGAAAACTATAATTTCCCTTATAAACACTGATGCAAAAATCCTGAATACAAGCCTGGCAAAATGAATTCAGCAGCATATTAAAAGGACTGCATACTTACAGCCAAATGGAATTTATTTCTGGAATGCAAGAATGGTTCAACATATAAAATTCAATGTACACATCACAGTTTTCAACAGAATGAAGGGAAAAAAAACCACATAATCATCTCAACTGATGCAGAAAAGGCATCTGACAAAATTAAACACCACTGCATGATAAGAAAACACTCAACAAATTAGGCACAGATGGAAACTACCTCCATATAATAAAAACCTCACGTGAGGGCTTACCTGGTGGTCCAGTGATTGATTGAGAATCTGCTTGCCAAAGCCAAGAGACACAGGTCCAATCCCTAGTCCAGGAAGATCCCACATGCCATGGAGCAACTAAGCCTGTGTGCCACAACTACCAATCCACGTGCTGCAACTATTGAAACCCGTGCGCCCCAGAGCCTGTCCTCTGCAAGGAGAAGCCCCTGCAATGAGAAGCTAGACAGCAGTCCCCGCTGTCTGCAACTAGAGAAAGCTCACATGTAGCACCAAAGACCTAGCACAGCCAAAAACACATAAATAAAACTTAAAAAGAAAAAAAAAAAAACCCTCATATGAAAACCCCACAACAAACACCATACTCAGTGGTGCAAGACTGAAAGCATTCCTCTAAGATCAGGAACAAGACAAGGATGCCTGCTTTCACCACTTCTATTCAACACATTTCGGTAAGTTCTAGCCACAGTGTTTAGACAAGAAAAGGAAATAAAAGGCATACAAGAAGAAATGAAACGATCTCTGTTTGCAGGTATGATCTTACATAGAAAATCCTAAAGATTTTACCATAAAACTTAACAGTAAATGAGCAAAGTTGCAGGATACAAAGTCAACTGCATTTCTATATGAAAATAATGAGCAATCTGAAAAGGAAATTATAAAATGTTTCCATTTCCAATAGCATAAAAAATAGGACTTTCCTTCTGGTCCCGTGGTTAAGATTTCCACTGTAGAGGGTGTGGGTCCAATCCCTTGTCAGGGAACAAAGATCCCACAGGCCACATGGCACAGCCAAAAATAAAGAAAAAAAGTTCTCAGGAACTAAACTTAACCAATGAGGTAAAAGATCTGTACAGTGAAAACTACAAAACACCACTGAAAGTAATTAAAGACATAAATAAATGGAAATACATTCTACGGTTATGAATTGAAGGTCTACTATAGTTAAAATATCATTACTATCCCCAAAATCTACAAATTCAATGTAATTCCTATCAAGATCCCCATGACATTTGTTTAACAGAAAATTCTAAAATCAAACGGAATCTCAAGGGACCCTGAATAGCCAAAACAATCATGAAAAAAAAACTTTAAAAAAACTACAGCACTCTTCCCGATTTCAAAACGTACTACATAACTACTATACTAATCAAAATAGCCAAAGACAAGACATATAGGCCAATGATTTAGAATAGAAAGTCCAGAAATAAGCCCTCACATACACGGTCCAATTATATTTGACAAGGGTGCCAAGACCATGAGGAAAGAACAGTCTTTTCAACAAAAGGTGTTGGGAAAGCTGGATATCCACAAGCAAAACAATGAAGTTGGACCCTTACCTAACAACATACACAAAAATTAACTCAAAATGGACCAAGGACCTAAATATGTAACATCTAAAAATTATAACTCTTAGAACAAAACGTAAGAGCATCACAACACTAGATTTGGCAAGAATTTCTTCACTAGGAGACCACATGCACAGGTAGCAAAAGAAGAAACATGCAAACTGGACTTCATGAAAATTTAAGCACTTTTGTGCATCAAAAGACACTGCCAACAGAGTAAAAAGTCTACCCAAAGAAAGGGAGAAAATATTTGCAAATCATATGTATGATATGGGATTAATATCTGAATATATAGAGAATTCCTACAACTCAACAACCAAAACACAACTGAATTAAAAAATGGGCAAAGGACTTGAACAGATGTTTCTCCCAAGAAGATATGTAAGTGGCCAATAAGCACATGAAAAGATGTTCAGCATCACTAATCATTAGGGAAATGCAAATAAAAAATACAATGAGATACCATTCTCACACCAATTATGATGATGACTACCGAAAAAACATAAATCAACAAGTGTTTAAGAGGATGTGGAAAACTGGAAGCCTGTGCACTGTTGGTGCCAATAGTACCGCTCCTATTGAAAATAGTAGGGCAGTTTCTCAAAATATTAAAAAATAGAATTACCATTATCATCCAGCAAGTACACTTCTAGGCAGATACCAAACAAACCGAAAGCAAAGTCTCAAGGTATTTGTATATCACGTTCATGGCAGTATGATTTGCAATAGCTAAAACATAAAAGTTACCCAAATGCCTCCTGGTAGATGAATAGATTGGTATACAAATACAATGGAATATTATTTAGCACTGGAAAGGAAGGACATTCTGACACATGTCACAACATAGATGAATCTTGAGGATATTATGTTTAGTGAAATAAGCAAGTCACAAGAAGAAAAGTACTGTATGATTCCACCACCATGAGAGACTTAGTCAAAATCATACAAACAGAAAGTAGAATGGTGACTGACAGGGGCCAGTGGTAGGGGAGACTGAGGAATTCTTGTTTAATGGCTATAAAATTTCAGTTTTCACAAGAGATGGATGGTTGTGGTGATGGTTGTACAATAATGTGAATGTAGTTAATGCCATTGAACTATACACTTAAAATCGGTCAAAATGAAAAATGTTATCTGCATTTTATCACAATTAAAAAAAAATAATTAAAAAAAAAAAAAGAAGTTACCTGGGTAAGGCTCCCATCATGGAGAATGACAGACCGAGGAAAGGAATGTCTCTATTTTCTATAATTTAGGAACCTCAGGGGTATTTGAATAACTGATTCAATATTTTCAAATAATAAAACTTTTTAAAAAGTTTCACTATAGTTAAGATGAACGTGATTGAGAGGAAAATCTTATACTAAGATTCCATTGTGATATATCTGTTGGGTAAAATCAGTATATGGTTTTGTCTCATTTATTACAGAACTCTTTTAGGATAGAGGGCAAAAGTGCTGAAACTGCAAGCAGGACTAAGGCGTATTTCTTCTCCTTTTTCCGTAAGCTCCTCTTTTTACCATAGGGCTGCTCAGTCCCACATGGTGAACAGGCCCACAACAAGCATCTGAATGGGTAAAGCCTGAAATTAACCGTAAGGGTCAGCATCATTTGGACAGAAACCACGAGCATTGATGGAAAAAGCCATTATTTTCTGACACAGTGAACAAAAGCAGTATTAAACCCCTTTCACACGCTAAGCTGTTGGGAGTTATTTTGGATTGGCAAAACATGGCCCATGTAACCACCGCACTCCTCTGCGGCATCCATAGCCGACACCATTAATTCCTCTTCCACTGAGGCTGGCTACAGCGTCAGGACACTGATCAGAGGTCATTAGCACACTGGATGAAACCTCCCTGTCATCCATGGCAGCTGATGTGCAAGGTCCTGCCTCTCCATCTCTGAAGCGGTACAAATGATTCTGTCTGAATCATGCCACGGTAACAGCTATTCAGCTGTTGTCATATCCCGACTCTGAGCAGACAAGAGGCCACTTTAGTCAGTTTCAGATCAGCGAGAAAGATCACTATAATTCCAACTTACACTTTCAAGGCTCTGCTGGAACTCCACAAGTTTAGCTTCAGCCTCCTTGTAATTCTTGAAGAACATACAGAGCTCATACATCTCCATCATCAACAGTAGTGGGGAATCCTTTGAGGAAGAGTTTGAATGAAGTTACAAAATCCTGAAATTTAATACTATTTTCTCAATGAGTGATGCCAATACAAGAGATGTCACAGTAAAACAAAACTATTAATAAAGCTTCACAGTGAAGGGAAATCATCTATGCTAAAAAGAACAGAAATTAAACTTGTATTTCCTTCTGGAAAAGAGACCTCAGGCCAGGCACACCTACTCCACAGCCCCTTTTCTGTCTGTCCTGTACCTGGCCCACTGCACACGAGCGGCGGACACGCCACTGGCTGCTGCCAAGACTGTGGGCAGCGGGCCCTCCCGGGTAGCGGGCTCCACTGACCTGCTAAACCACTGCTCATCTGTGACAGCAGTCAACACATTTCCATCACTTCGATGGGAGCTTTCAGGTCAGAGGATAGGAGTTTTTGAATTAAGAGAGTATGGATCTGAACCGTAAGTAAACAACTTACTAAAACACTTTGAGATCCTGGGCATGTTTCTTAAGCTCTGTGAGCCTTGGTATATCACTCTGTAAAGTGAGGATAATATCTCACTTTGTAACATCCTCATAAAATACTACTTTACACAGGATTATTGTAAGAATCAACTAATATGATATATAAAGCACTTTGCTAAATAAGTGATAGTTCTAGTATCATTATCTGTTGTTGGCTTGAAAAAAAAAAATCCCAGGGGCAGGAATAACTGAAAAAGCCAATGTTGGATATTCTGAAGTAAAGCCTTTAAACTGAGGAAAGACATGAACTAATAACACTACCTTAAAGAAAAGCTGGAAACCTCTGATGAGAGTCCTGATCTTCCGCCTCATTAGCAACGTCCTCCAGATGACAGAGAGGTCCCCCAGGCCCCAGATGTGGCCCTCCACTGGGTCCTGAAGGGGTCCCACCGCTTCAGCTGCAACACGGGGCTCCACAGAGGCGACGATCCAAACACAGAGGCAAGAGACAGCACTGGCGTCCTGCCAGAGGAGAAAACTCTTCAAAGTAAGGGAACGACTAGGCATGGACTGCCTGACTGAGGAAGCTGCCAGCACTGCTCCCACTGCAGATGGGGCGTTGCCTGCTGAGAACAAGTCACCTCACCAAGTTGGTTAAGATGACTTGAAAAGCCTTCAAACACGAAACAAACTGTAATGAACAACCAAGGGACTATTATAAGCTGTCCTGCAGAGTACAATAGGCCAAAAGGGGATCTATGTGGATGTCAGGGAAGTACTAAGTACAAGAAAGCAAGCCTGTCCTCCACAGAACTGCTGATCAAGGGCTGTTCCGAGGACCACCCCCCCTCCCCGTCCTGCTCAAGACGCAGAGGAGGTCGGCCCACCAAAGCACCCTTCTCTGTGACTGCCAGCCCAGAGCTGAGGAACTGACCACTTAAGTCACTGAACATTAAGGCACAAGAAGTGCACAAGATGGCCCGGGGCCTAAGCGGGAGAAGCAGAGGTGTCAGTGACCTGCAAACCCACGCTAGAGCCTCCCTGAGGTCAACCTTCTCTGTCTTCTTTCAGCTTTTTCTACTGCCCTCTGAGTTCTTAATTTAGGCTTTTTGAGACTCTCACCTGGAGACATGAGGCCAGGACACTAAGGATTGGGGCCTTTTGTTTCACTGCTTCTCCCAGGAGCCAGCACCAGGAGTTTGGCACCTCTGAACACTGAAGCAGAATCTGAAAGAAATCCGTCATCTCTCCTTTGTGTCTCTGGAGTTCCTGTGAGTACATGTTGCAGACTTGATCACTGTCCATTCTGGAGTTGGACACTGAGGGCAAGCTCTCAAAAGCCAGTCTTAAGTGGTCCTGAAGGACAGGGCTGAAATACTGCAGAAGATATTTCACCTAAAAAACATGTTAGATGATCAAAAAAGACAGCCAAATTCCAATTTCAGCTGGAGCTAAAAATGTTGGAGAAAGAGGCAAACTTGTTCTTTCTCACCCTGAACTGTCAGAAGTGACCACACAATTTTACAAAGTCACTTGTTATGTTTGAGTGAGTTTCCAGATTCAATCTAGAGTCACACAAACTCTTCCTTCAGCTCTTTAGTAGTAATGACTGGTCCTTTGTCTGAAGCCAAGCCACAGAAATCGCAGTAAAAATAGTTACCATAGCAAACAAAAGCCTATGATACACAACAGAAAGAACACTGTCTTCTGAGAAGTGCTCCAATTTCCTCTTCTTTAATAACCAGGAACAATCGGTGGCTTACCTCCTCTGGGTGATGACTATGGAGCTGGCTGTGAATAATAAACTGTAACCAATCATTTGCTCTGGCACATTCTCTAAGGTAAGATGTGCTTGGTTTCATATTGTGGAGCCTGCAGAACTGTACCACTAATGCCCACTGGCTGCTGGATTCACTGGATAACCTGTAATTGGGAGTGGATGTGGGGCTAAGAGGGAAAGAACTTGTTAAGATATAGCTTTAAACTGGAAACTTAGCAAAAAATAAATCTGACTACAGCATATTCTCTAAAATGCCTTTCAACAAACACCAAATACTTATTAGAAGGCTTTGAAAAAAGAATTCTTTCATCCATAATGCACAACAGTTTTCTCAGCATACTGGCAAAATTCCTTTCCCACCCCTCCCCCGCACCCCAGTACCAGCCAAGTGCCTGTCAAACCAGCTATGCAATGCACCATCTTTAGGGGGACTGAGAAAACAGCTACTGGAGAACTGAGTGCCTAATTCTCTTGCATGATTCCCTTTTAGAGTATCAGAGGGAGGCCTGACAGGCACCTGGACTTCCTTGCTAAGGGGAGGGCACGTGCTGAGAAGGAAAACTGCTGAGAACAGAGTCAGTGACGGGAGGGAAAAGGAGAATGGTGCACCGCCAGGGTTGGGGTGGCAGGGTCAGCCCCAGTGGACAGCAGAGAGGAAAGATGACATTGGTGTGTAAGGAGAGGCAATTTTGTGGAAACATGGTCACCTCACCTTCCATTATCAGTTGACATACATTAACAAGGAAAAAAAAAAATCAAGGACATCACTTAAGAGTCAGATTTTGTGAGACCCATCCTGCACCGCCTCTGACATGTTAGGGCCCCGGGGGAGGCCACGCCCCTCTCCACCTCTTGGGAGCCCTCTCTAAGGAAGGAATCGTCATCTTCACCCTCCTTCTACTGATGGCAAGAGGCATTAAAACGCGCTACGTGCTCCAGGAGGAAGAAGGTAAGGTCTAGGGGGACTGGCGAAAACATCCGAGGGAAGGAACATGAGGCAAACGCAGACTGGAATGGTCAAGCTTCCTGAAAAAGAGGCGAGGGCTGCAATTCACAAACCTCTCTATTTCCTGCTGCTGAAGGCTGTTCCATATGCCTTCTTCTAAGAGAACAAGCAACTCTTCTGTGGTTGCCCTTTCACCCACGGCAAGTTTAGACAGTTTTTCAGCTATAAGAAATATAAACAACAAAATATGGTCAAGAGAAAAATACGGTCAGGAACTGGGCATTTCTGCCTTTTTTTTTTTTTTTTGGCCACAATGCATGGCCTGCAGGATCTTAGTTCCTCAAATAGGGATCAAACCTGGGCCACTGCAACAAAATCAGCGCCCCAGTCACTGAACTGTCAGGGAACTCCCAGGAACTGGGCATTTCTACTTGACATTTCAGAAACCCATTAGGGGCCCAAAGAAATGAGATAAAGTACACACATTCTGTAGAAAAAGGATGCAACAGAAGATAACTGTTTCTTCCCCAACCACTCACAATTCAATGCTTTAGACCTATTTGTCCCTTGTCCTTTAAATAAAACAAACAACATAAAGGTGCTGTACCTAGAGACTCTCTGATAGAGTTGTATTGAGCATCTTCATTTCCACACTTGTAGTTCAAAATTATATTGGCCACTTTCATATCAACTCTGAGCTTGAGACTGTCGAGACCAAGCAATTCTAAGAAGCACACACAGGCGGCTCCTATCGAAGGTATGTGGAAGCAGGAGAGCCCTAAAGCATAGGCTTCATTGCCTACTTGCTGGATCCTGAGAAAGAAAAGCACCCAAAATCACATCAGCACGTGAAACTTTTTTCTCACCAGGAAAAGCATATGGAATTACATCAGCGACACTTGGACTTTGTGACTTCCTCCCCCGTCCCCCCGCTTTTTTTCACCCCTTGTGCTCGTCTATTTAGGTTCTTGGTAGCTTTTAATTGTCTTCCGGCTCCACAGCCCCCTATTCCTTTGTATTTTACCTTTTCCTAAAACAGCTATTCACAGTCCAAGTAATTTTCGCTTCCAACTTCATTCAGGGGAACATGGAACGGAATTTATGAATGACTGTCAACTTGTGATCTTACTAATTATAAGTTTGTACACAAACTACCAAGAAAATTAATGGCACCTAAAGTTTGACATCATAAAGCTTATGCATTTTAAAGGACTCATATAACGTTCTTTTATATGAATAGAAAAATTCAGAGGAAAGATACACAAGAAATTAACCATGCTTATTTTTACTATGTACAATAGAATGAAGCTGAGAGACAAAATTTTTTTTTTCATTTTTCACCCTTCTGATTTACTTGAATATTTTACCATAAAGATGCACTAGTTAACTATAAAATAAACCAACATACTAAATCTGTATTTAGCTGCTGATTATATCAATACTCCTCCCAATTCTGTGCTATACAAGTGAATTATAAAAGACCAAGATCTTAAATTCAGAATTGACATCTAATTATAGAATTCCCTCTTTGAAACTGCTAACATTTGGCAAGCTCCTGGTTCAATTTTTAAAGACATGATTTTAAGATATATTTATGATATTTAAAAATATATCTTAATCTTTTTCCTATTCACAAAGTAAGATTAAGTGCCAGAAACCTAGGGTATACAGAAAAGCACAAATGAAAAAAATATACACCTAATTCACCAGCCAAATAAAATGACCAACTGTGGAATGTTTCCAGTAGATTTTTATAAATGCATGTATAAAAATACACAAATATGCCTTTTAATTTATTAAGAGTATAAATTATGTTTTAAATACTCACAGCTGCTTGGGGGTCTTGCTCTTGGTTAATTCCTGAACCAGAAAAGTACCAAATGCAAATGATGGCCGCCCATGATGTAAATAATAAGCAAAATTCAGACGTTCTACTACAGCATATTTATTAACCAGGTCAGGGCTAGAGAAATGTGGGAGCTGACTCGCTGCATCTGGGGGAAAGTGAAGCAATATTAATCCTCTGCACCTCACCATGATTAACTTCAGATCGGCATGTGGAAAACTTAACTTGGCAATGGTGAAAGAAAACTGGTCGCTATCATCATTTTGTACCACTGTGTATCACTTTGAACCACCAAAATGTAATAGTTTTATTTTAATGTGGAGCAGTAGCCCTCATTTTACACAAAACTGTGTACCTCAGAAGCCACAAAAAAACCTATAAATTATGTTTCAATCCTATTGAACTTGTTATTTTAGATGCTATAATTCTATATTTGATGATTCTTTAAGTTCACATTGGCAATAACCCTTTAAGTACAAAGTCCGTTAACGATTGGCAAACAGAGCTTTTTAAGTCACTCACATAGCTCATCACACAGTGAGCGCCTTTGTGCTGTGTTTGTGTGAATCCTCTATTCACCAAGACCAACACACTGTGCCCTTTCCAAAGGGCTGAGAAGAGTATTCTTTTCTCCACATTAATACCCTAATAATCTTTTATTATAGCTACTTTTGTTTCTGATGTTGTATTCATGAGCACATTATCTACATCTTTCTAAGACCAGCAGAGTGTTTCAAAGTTCCTCTGTGCCCATGAAAAAAGCAGAAAAAAACCATTTTTTCCTCTTTTTACAGAAATATGAAGTCAAAAGATATGTGGATGTGGAAAGTTCATATGAAGTAACTGTTTCTATCAAGCCCTAATCTTTAATTGCTTCTTAACCACTAAAGACCTATTTTAAAAAGGAGATAAAACATTTTGAACTGTAAGGAACCATTTCTGGAAAACAGTGCACCTGCTCTTATTTTTATAGTTCAAAGCTGAAGAAAAATTGTATCCTCCCATGCAATTCCAAAGGAATTTTTATATTCTGACTAGGCTCTTAATTAAAAAAAGATCTGAAGACTTTAGAGGAGCCCATCATCTTACAAAGCTATTCCTTAAAAGGACACCTCCCTCCAGATTAAAAAACTGTCACGTCTTATCTGTATTCTTTGTAAAAGCAGATGGATTTTGATAACTTAGACTTGCATGTAGAACCATTCATTCATTCATTAAATATTTACAGAGTTCACATAAAGCCAAATGAACAAATCTGAGTCTTTGTTTTTTTTTTTTGGTTGCACAGCCCAGCATGTGGGATCTTAGTTCCCTGACCAGGGATTGAACCCGTGCCTCTTGCAGTGGAAGTGTGGAGTCTTAACCACTGAACCACAAGAGAAGTCCCCAAACTTGAGTTGGGTTCAAATAAGACCCTGATTTTTTTAGTGGTTTGGGGGGCTGGAATGGAGGTTTTGTATAAGGGAAAATTTTCTCTGACCTGCTCAAAAGCCAAATTACCATGCAGTTGCCTTATGGTCATTTTCCGTGGTAAAACCATATGAAAAAAGAAGCAAGCATTCTAGTTAAATACAACCCTCCAATTTAAAGCATCTGTATTACGTATTCATAATAATTATTTAATTTGTGCTTTATTTCTTTAAACATGTTTTAAACTTCTAGAAACAAGGCAGGGAAGAGGTCTTCCGCTTCCTTCCAATTCCCCTGGTGTACCTGGTCGGGTGCTCCACATTCCCCAGGACCTCAGGACTCAGGCTAACTCAGGACTCCTGTGCATCAGAGCTGCACAGGGGATTCTGCCTACTCCCCAGTAACCTCACTGAGATGAGAATGAGTATTTTCACTTGAAAAAGCAGTAAGTACTACTTCATCCTGCACTGAACAAATACCAACTGAGTATCCCCTACAGGCCCTGCACTGTGCCAGGCACAAGGTAAATTCAATGTATCGAAATTTGAACTTATAAAACTGACATGTTAGAAAATGTACTTTTATGTACATCAGTAAGTATTTACAGGATATGTATTATGTGAAAAGCATGAATTTGAATCCTGCTTTAGAGTAATACAGGCAGAGGCACGACAGGTAATAGGATATTAAAAGCTAACTCAAAATGAATAAGTAAAAAAGAAATAGAAAAAGTAGAGTTTAGGAACGGCACACACAAAAAAATCAAGGAAACGTTTACGGTCTAGAGAGGATGGCAGCGTGTGCACACCTGGCGGTTACCATGTACGAGCTTTTTAAATGCGTCTGTGACGTGTGAGGAAGGCCCTTCACTTACCCTATTTCGTGGAAAACTGATGAGAGGTCAAATCAGCTGCCCAAGGTCATACAGCTATTACATGGTAGAGCCAAGATATGTCTCATGTTAAAAACACCTGTGCTTTTAACCTTCATAATATTAATACTATACTGCAAGTGAACAAGGATTTTTGGAAAGGGAGAAATTGAAGCAGAAGGTCTATATTACATTTTCCAGCAAGTACAGCACTAGCGACCTCAAGACTTTTAACTCAAAGTATGTTTTCAATTCAGTTTCCTATAAAATGTTTTCCATTAAAACTACAATGAGGTATCAACTCACTCTGGTCAGAAAGGCCATCATCAAAAAGTCTACAAATAATAAATGCTAGAGAGGGTGTGGAGAAAAGAGGAATCCTCCTACACAGTTGGTGAGAACGTACACTGGAACAGCCACTATGAATGGTATGGCGGTTACTTGAGAAAACTAAAAGCAGAGTTACCACAAGATTCAGTAGCCCTACTCCTGGGCAGTTATCTAGAGAAAACGAATGCAAAACCATCACGCACCCTGATGCTCACTGCAGCAGCTCTATTCACAACATGCGGGCAACCTTCATGCCCATCAACAGGTGGCTGGATAAAAAAGATGTGATACACACAGACATATATATACTCATACACAAACACTCTCACACAGCAGAAAATATACATGTGTATGTACATGTACATACACACAATGGAAGATGTGAGATATACACACACACATATACATACAATGGAATACTACTCGGCCATAAAAAGAATGAAATAATGCCATCTGCAGCAGCAAACATGGATGGACCTGGAGGTTATACCAAGTGATATAAGCCAGACAAAGACAGATATCCTATCGCTTAGATGTGGAATCTAAAAAAATGATACAAATGAACTTATTTACAAAACACAAAGAGACTCACAGACACAGAAAACAAACTTAAGTTACCAAAGGGGAAAAGGGCAGGGAGGGATAAATTAGGTTGGGATTAACACACGCACACTACTACAAATAAAGCAGATAACCGACAATGGCCTACTGTATAGCACAAGGCACTACACAATACTTTCTAATAACCTAGAAGGGAGAAGAATCTGAAAAAGAATATATAACTGAATCATAGTGCTGAACACCTGAAACTAACATGATACTGTAAATCAACTATATTTCAATTAAAAAAAGGCATGCCATATTTATTTTTTAAGTTTCTATTTTTAGACGGAAAGCACGAGGGAAAACTGGACGGGCTTTACACAAACGATCCCCTACTGTCCACGCTGCTGAAAGGCTTCTGAAGCAAGAAGAGTCCACAGTGACTTACCTCCTATAGCCAATGTATTGGCAGACTGCCAGCCAAACAATCTGCTCGGGTCAAAGGGCAACAGCGACTGGAAAAGGGGAGAGGTCAAGTCAGAGCTAACAGTTACTGGTTGTGAGGTGAGCTAAGTCACGTGAGAGAGCTGCACTTTCTCCTTCATCTGCTTCCCTTCCCACAGCAGTTAAAACTTCTCATCCTTCTAGGTATAAATTCTTTGAAACAAGCTATGAACAAAAAAGAGGGTATGAGACATTTTTCTACTTTTAACAAAAACAGAACTGGCTATGTTTCTTTTAAAGATTCTCTTCATTTCAAACTATGTCTGCAAAGTTCACTGTCTTTTGGTAGAACCAGCAACAATTACAATGTAAAAATGGGCTTTATAAATGCTTTTGAATCAAAAGGCAAGAGGACTAAGAGGCTAGAAAATGCTACCATAAATACAACAAGGTGTGCTGTGGCAGGTCAGGAAAGAGACAGCTAGGTCACGGGCTAGAGGAATGTGATGACCAAAGCAGCAATAACAATGCCAAAGAAAAACAGCAGACGAAGGCCAGGTCAATCAGAAAAGATCTGAGAGCAGGGAGCACGGGCTGTTTGAAATGTGTAGGCCAAAGGTTTCAGTAAGCAGACTATGGGAAGGAGACAGAGAACTATACAGGAGACAACAGAACTATTAGGTCCAGATTTGGATGGCGGGGAAAAGAGCAGCTTTAATTTTATTTACGTGTGTGTGTGTGTGTTATATTATTTATGTAAGTATACTTTAATTCATTCATTCATTTATTCTAAGGCCCCCGACCAGGGATTAAACCTGGGCCGTGGCAGTCAAAGTGCCAAGTCCTAACCACTGGACCACCAAGGGATCCCAAAGCCGCTTTAACTTTAAATGAAGGGAGAATCTTGTGGATTCTAGTGAAGAGGAAATACTTTTCCTAAAACAACAGGACTAAAGAACTGCTTCAACCTAAAAACAGAACAAAGAACTGGAAACCACTTCTGTTTTAGGCTGATGGGATCCACTTTATGTAGTAAAACATGTATTTTTTTATGCTTTTATGTAACCACTTACATCTATGTAATCCATTTATCTCATTTCTGCAATGAGATAAGAAGCTTGTGATAAATATAAATCTGACTGCTTCCTTCTTCAAGAAAGTTTTGCTACACTAAAAACAAACCAGAAAACGCTGCTGACACGTATCAGCACCAAGTGGCTCGCAGACTCACATGTGCCTGGGGACCACGGCTTAAGCAGCACAGGGCTGTACAATTCCCACATTAGAGTGAGAGGCTTTGTTTGTTTTAGGCTCATAGGGTTTACGTTTAACTGACGACACTATGAGAACATCTGTACTCAGGAAAAAAAGCAAAAGCCTTCTAAAGTGAGAAATGAGCAAAAGAAAGTGTTCTATTTAAAAAAAAAAGTATTTAATTTTTAATTGAAGGATAATAGCTTTTCAGAATTTTGTTGTTTTCTGTCAACAAAGTGTTCTTAATTGATGATCCCTCAATAGGTTTCAGGGAACCTGTGAATTCCTTTGAAATATAACTAAAATTATATGCAATTTTTCTGGGTACAGGGTTTGTAGCTCTCTCACATTCTTGAAGAAGTCCTTGTCCTGAAAAAAGGTGACTTAAATGAACAGCCCTATTCACTGAGAAGAGACAGAAGTTTATCAGTGGGAGCATGAAGCAGCTTTCAATGAAAGTAGCAGACCAGTACGCCGGCCAACTGCCTGTCTGCCCCCCCACCCATTTCTACCTTTCTCGTGCTCCTCCCTGAATCGCAGACGACTGCATTTCCCAAACTCACCTGCGCTTTGGCTACCAGACACATTTAGCCATGAGAGATTGAAGGTGGGAAGAGGGGAGACACTGATGTACTTTCCCTTCTGTGTTTTCTGGAGCATCTCCTACAAGGTTCCAGCCCTTACGCTCTCTTCCGAGCCCCCAGTAGGCAGCCTGGTTCTGAGTGTGTCTCTCAGAGAGGCTCCCGTTGCTGGGTTCAGATAACACCACTTTCTGGCAGCCTTAGGGGTGTTGATGACTTCCATCTTTGTCAATTTTGAGGTTGTCTCCTCATCACACACTTGGCACCTCTTTTGCTATCATTCTGTGTAAGTAATTTCCTACATTAAACGGCCTACACACGGAAGACTCTGGCTTCCCAGGTGGTACAGTAGTCAAGAACCTGCCTGCCAATGCAGGAGACACAGGTTTGATCCCTGGGTTGGGAAGATCCCCTGGAGAAGGGAATGGCAATCCACTTCAGTATTCTTGCCTGGAAAATCCCATGGACAAAGGAGCCTGGTGGGCTATATAGTTCATGGGGTCACAGTCGAAAGTGACTGAGCATGCACATGTTAGCTTACTTGGAAGACCCAGAATGGTCTCTCTTTTCCACTCTGGCTGATATGTCTCAGTACTATACCTGAATGAGGTGGTAGAGTGTAATATCGGGAGGCAGGACACTAGGGGCGGTGTACTGTGGGAATAGAGCAGCTTTAAGCTTTGGGTAAGAAGTTAATGCCATCTTCAGTAGCTGGGGATCTACTTTCTTCAAAGAGTTCTCATTTTCTCCATTCTGAACAACCTAAATGAAAAGACACATAATGTGATACAGAATAATGTTTTTCTCTTTTCCAAATTTAAGTCCTTTTTTCATAAGATACAAGGAGTAACAGGCCAATAGTTCTAGTTCTGATTTAAGACAAACTAGCTGTATGATCCTGGGCTAGATATTTAATATCAGGTAGGTTTCAGTTTCTTCAACTACAAAATTAGAAAGTTCAGCTACATCAGTGGCTTTCAAACTGCATAAGGAAAATCTGTCTGAAAACAGGCTCTGATACAACAATATTTAAAATTTTAAAACATGAAGTATTTAATTGGATATTAAATAGTAAATATTTTAAAAGAAAAAAACCTACCAGACTAGATGACTCTTAGATTCTTTCTCTCAGGCCTCAAGTTATTCTACGACTAATTTCTAACAGGTGATTAAAAACAGAGGAATAAGTAACCATGAAGTTAACACATACTGCAACATCTAAAACAGGTGGAATTAAATTAAGCTAGCATCAGTAAGGAACTTACAGATTAGATGTTTAACAGCATTCTTAAGTTCCCTCTAACCAGCCATGCTTAACTTTCAAAAAAGCAGAGATGGGCAAGTTTTCACTGGGTTCCTCGAAAGAGTTTTTAAGGGTAGCTAAAAATTATGATTTCTTTTTTTACCTCTCAAAGAGGTCAAATAATAGAGAATATTTCCCAAGCCACAGATTCAAAGTATACTTACTCCAAGGAGCAATCAGATCTTGATTCTAACCTAAAAAACAAACCTGGGGTATCAGAGAGCAAATAAAGGGGGAAAAAAATCTCTACACAACATTCAGTTGCCCCTTGTATCACAGGGGATTGGTTTCAAGACCCTTACAGATAACCAAAATCTGAGGACCTCAAGTCCTTCAAATAAAATGCTGTAGTACAGTCACCCCCTCCATAACTGTGGATGCAGAACCCAGTATGGAGGGCTGACTGTATCGGCCTCCTCCGAACTTAAAGAGGATATGACATAAAGCTTAAAAAAATTCACTGTTGTGTTTTACACTCTTGAATAAAATACTGGTACACGGTTACATTTTAAATCAACTGAGATCTAGAAGATCCACAGGTTATTTCTGCTAAATTTATAATCGGTCCTATATTGCTATAACATGTGAAAGTGCTGTCCATACCTGGCTGACGCCCCCAGGGGCATACATTGTGGTAGCAAGGGCCAGGAGGGTATGTCCTTCCAATAGCATACTGCTGACACTGGCCTGGTTGCTGGGAATCAGTATCTGAGCATTTGCAAGGCTAGCCTGGAAGACCAGTTTGGGATCTGAAAAATAAGAAAGTACATTTTTCTCTTTGAAAGAGAAATACTAAACTAAGAACTATATGTGCTTCCCTTGTGGTTCAGATGGTAAAGAATCCGCCTGCAATGTGTGAGATATGGGTTCAACCCCTGAGTTAGGAAGATCCTTTGGAGAAGGAAATGGTAACCCACTCCAGTATTCTTGCCTGGAGAATCCCATAAACAGAGGAGCCTGGGGGGCTGCAGTCCACGGGAAAGCAGAAGAGTCAGACACGACTCAGTGACTCAAACACATACAAGAATTATATAATTCTAAGAAAGAAAATTAACTTTTAGCTCTACCCACAGTAATCTACATGCAAATACAATAGGAAATCAGATTACAAAGGGAAAGAAAACTAGATGTCTACATAAAAATAAAAACTTCCATTCAAGGAATGAAAACAAGGAAAATTAAAAGGCAGTAATGAACAAGGGGGAAAAAATCAATGAAAGACAACAACCTAACAATTAATGTGTTCAACAAAGAGCTCATACAAAAACCCAAAATACTGACTCTAACAGATAAATGGACAGAATAACTGTTTTACAAAGAAGAAAATATAAATGCCTGACACATAAAAATATATAATTAGCAATAAAAATGCAAATTAAAACAGGAATTAGATACCATATATCACCTATCTGCTTCTTAAATAAAGCTTGAGCCTAGATTATGGTCAAATATTTGTCATTTGTCTACAGTTATATGACTTATTTAAAGCATTTACAACTTAAATTTCATTCAAAAGACCAGTTATTTATCCAAAGCAATTTCTGTTTTAACATAGGACACACATACCTGTTAAATTACTGGCAACTTGTCGACACTGAACTAAAAATTCAAACCAAGGGTGAGCTTCATGTAATTCTTTTTTTCCCAAAAAAGGACAATTTGGAGGACTAAGTCTGTATATAAAACAAACACACAAAATATCTGATTAACATAAAGGGTAATAAGACAGACAATTACAACCATGTTTGCTCAGATGATAACTAGCATTAAAAAAAAAAGATCTCTGCGCTTCAAAAGTAAATAGAATACAATATACTCCCAGTCTTATGTTTTTCATATGCCTTACATATGATCTGGAAATAAAGAAAATTTTAGAGACAGAGACAATATCACTTAAAGTGTTTCCTACCATGATGAAATTTTACCAACTCTGTATAAGATTATTGGAATACCTTTGTGCTTTAAGATACTTTATATTTTATTTAAAAAAAACACAAAAATTCTTTAGCTTTCTCAAGCTTAAGAGATTTTTTGAAAACTTTTATATAACTACAAGAGAAGATGAGACTAAGCAGTTAAGGGTCATAACAGGTTCTCTGAAAATATGGCTTTTAAACCCTCACCTGCCAGTAGTTTTAGGGGAAATATTTCTGTGTTCAAGTAAACCTCAATGATATGAACAAGAAATACATCCTTTGTTTGAGTTCCGACCCTATACTACACAAAATAAATAACAATGTTCTCATTCGCAGATGAATGTGGATTCTGGAATCAAATGTAACTAAATCCAACTTCACCACTTACTAGCTGTGCACCTTAAACAACGCACTGAGTCCCTCTCAAAGCCTCAGTGTCCTCATCTGTGAGATGGAGGTGGGAATTACCACCTCACGGGATTTCTGAAGATTAAATGAGACAATGCACATAAAGCACCAAGAACAGTGCCAAACACACTGTGAGTACTCACATATCAGAGACTACTACTATTATTATTATTACTGACCCAGCACTGGTCACAGATACGATTCTGCCGGTTGATCTTATTTAGGTAAGTATATATATTGATGTCTGACTATCTAAATATAAACTTCAGAGCAAGTCTAAGATACCTTGCAGTGGCTATAAAGTCAAACTTTTTAGCATTTGTTTGGTGATGAAAGTCCAAGTTAACCTTTAGAATCTTCCCTCCTTTAAACTTTTAAAGCATTTTAAAGAATTAAACACTAATAAATGAATAAATATTAATAAATTAATATATCTAATTATTTAAAAGGTTAATATCGATGCTACATAATTAACATTCAAACAACACATGATAAGCATTTAGTTGAATGGAATATTAAACTAAAAGATGTTATCAAATGTTAGAGTGGCGGGAACTATTTCAAAAAGATCAGTATTGCTCACATGAATGCTTAATATTTTCCTAAAAGTCATATTCAGACGCAATACGCAAAGAAGGAACATGAAGGCTTCATTCTTAGTACTCACTTGTAATGGTCAAGATAGACATAAAGAAGATATTGCAGACTGTGTTCCAAACAATAGAGAATGAAGTGAGAGTGGAAATCCCAACCTTCTTTGGACCTATAGTTTTGAACAGCGAGGGCATCCTGCATCACACCCCCAACACGGTTCAGTCTGGCAAGGAAGAGTTCAAAGTCTTCTAACTCAGATGTAAGAAAAATTCCATTCCTATTGGGAAGGTTTAAGTAAAACATGGCAAGTTAAAAAGTTGCTAGATTCAGAGCAAATCAAACCATCTCCAATGTTAAGTAATCTCAACTAGTTAAAGACTAGTATTTACAAATTAAGAATGCCAATTCTTATCCCATAAATATGTTCTGAAACACGTCTTTTGCTAGTTTCCAATAAAGGTTTCTGCACCACTATAGTATTTTAAGGCAGTAATGACAGTCTCCAATTATCTTAAATATTTCAAAAACCTAAGCTAAATTACCTCCATTTCTTTGTTTTTGACTGGAACTGTGACAACCCACTGTGGCTCTTGAAGTTAGATGCTTTACACATTGAGGAATTCACCAAAATGTCCAAACAAAATCATTAAGAGATTAAAGCATAATAAAGAGTAACTTCAACAGACCAACTATTAAAGAACAGAAATTTGTATTTAAATAATTTATAAGTTTACTGTTAATACATCATGAAAGGCAAAGTTTTAGTCGCTCAGTCATGTCTGACTCCTTGCGACTCCATGGACTGTAGCCCCAGGCTCCTCTGTCCATGGAATTCTCCAGGCAAGAATCCTGGAATGGGTAGTCATTCCCTTCTCCAGGGGATCTTCCTGACCCAGGGATTGAACCTGGATCTTCTGCATGCAGGCAGATTCTTTACCATCTGAGACAGCAGGGAAGTCCATACATAGCATTAAAGGAGCACAAAAAAAAGTATATGGAGTTTAGAGAAACACCACATAGCCACCACCTAGATTACAGGACAATGTACCTAGAAGTCCTTGGAGTACTCCTCCCCTTTTACATGAGCTTTTTTGCCCGCAGAGGTAACCACAATCCTGATTTTCATGATAACTGTTCCCCTACTTTCATTCACCAACACAGTTTTACTACCCATGTGTGTAGCCTGAAATATTAACAATATTTGGTTTTGGCTATTTCAAACTTGACATATATGAATTGAACATCCTGGACACATTGCTGCCTTGTTTCTCCCTCTTAACACTGTGTGATTTACCCATGTTGATGCCTACAGCTGCAGCTTGTTTTCATTGTTCCACTGTATGACTATCCCACATTTTATTTTTCCATTCTACCTTTGATAGTCATTGCTCCTAGATTTTTGGCAAAATAAATTTCCCTTCCTGCGACTATAAATACGGAGCATCTTCTCATATGTTTTTTGGTCACGTGTGGCTCCTCTTTTGTGAACTACCTGTGTGCTGGTTATCTTTCCCCTCCAGATCCAAGCTCTACTCTCCTGCCGTGGGTCCGAGAGGCTCGCTCACCTGTGCGGGATGGTCTAGAAGAGTCCTGTGCCCTCAGGCTTCTGCTTTGCTTTGTCTTGACCTATGAAGACCCCCGTCAGGAGACAAGAATCAGGAAAAAGGGAGGATGGGGATGCCTTGGTGCGCTCTGTGCTGTGTGGCAGCAGGCCGGCTAACACTGTCCACTGAGGGACACAAGTCCCGCCAGGCAGCGGGAACATCCTGGACACACTGCTGTCTTGTTTCTCCCACTTAACACTGAGTCCGATCCCTGGGTCAGAAATATCGCCTGGAGAAGGAAATGGCAACTCACTCCAGTATCCTTGCCTGGAAAATCCCACAGAGGAGCCTGGTGGGCTACAGTCCATGGGGTTGCAAAGAGTTGGCTACGACTGAGCAACTAAACATCAACAACAGGTACAATACCTGGCCAGCTGATCTAAAATTTCATTTCTCATGTAGTTGTTGCAACAAGTATTCTGATCAACAACATCAACAGTCAAAGGCGGCCATTTATTCCGCTCAAGAGAAGCATGACTGCTCTGGGTCTGAAATTCTCCAATCCACAGGATAATGCTAGGCCAGTCATGGCGTGCCGTGAGGTATCTCCAGAGGGCTTCAGGAGAATACGACCTATATCCTAAATAAGAACAAAATGCATTTTAAAAGAGCAATGAATGATGATCACTGACGTAAAACTCAACACTAATTGTAATACTAATAATACATCATTAACATGATGATCTGGGCAAATATTTAACATAAAAGAATTACTCAGGCCTTCTGCTTCTTTTACTATTTACCTCTTTTGTGCTGTTCGTTTTCTAATGGATAGATCAGCAGGAGGAAGAGCTAAACGGTGCCTCCCGTTACTACAGTGGTTAAATGAAACTTGGGAATTACCTGTGTGTTTCATTTATCTTGCCAGCCTTCTCTTTTCCCTTTTCTTTTCCTTAGTATAAACAAAAGCTTCAGCTGTAATAATAAACGTGAATTTGACACCCTATGAATTACCAGTTTACCATTGTAAAGTTATTCCCCAGAGCCCTGGTAGGATACAGGTTCTCAGTTTACACAAAGAGAAACCAAAGACTATTTCGAAAAACAAAGAATGCCATGGAAGCTAGGAAGAGAACTCTGAGCCTTGAAATTTCATATTCACTGAACCAGATTTTTCTCTTTCACAATCACATTATAAATCCCTTACAAAAACATAAAGACAAGAAAAAGCTCCCAATATAAAGACTTGCATTTTAAAGCAACTGAGTATTTTTCCCCAAAAGGAATTCGAACATGAAGACACACCAAAATATTCAAATACCAATGCCTAATTTAATCTTCATTCATTCATTTAGGCTCTTTTACACTTGCCTTCTGGATTTATCCAGGGGAGAAGGATGGATTCTTGTGTTGGCTGATTCCACCACTGAGCCCAATTTAACACAATCCTATGATCTTGCTTGTTAAGTTTATCTTTATGATCATATTTCAGCAACGGGTCCAAAACAGACTTGTGCTTGGAAAAATCTTGTTCCTTTATCCAATACCTAAAAGAGTGATAGGAAATTTTTAAATTTTGGAGGGAAAGGCATCATTCCTTTTTCTCCGCTCAAGAAGTTCTACTCTTTCGGAGAACACATAATTCAGTGCTCTTAACTTTGTATTTATTATCTTAAAATATATCTGATATGTACATATTGATGTGACAGGGAACGTCTCAGGCCCTTCTGGATGATACAAGTTTAATTTTCTTAGGGAATATGAGCTCAATTCCATGTAAGAAGTCCAAGATAACAATTAGAAACTAAAGCTTATCTGCAGTATTCTTCCCATGTTATAAAAACGGGGCTAATGAGACTACCTGGGTAAAGACTGGATCTGCAAATTTTCTTGTAAGTGTCCTGAATAAAACTTCTCAACTTGATGCACAAAGTCTACAGTCTTTTTCTCTTTTTCAGAAAAATAATTTTTTTCTTGAAAAATTTCAACCTTGAACAAAAAGCAATTAAAGAAAAAAAATCACAAAGAATCAAGAACATTTGCAAAACAAATGCCATGAGATTATAAATACCACTTAAGAATTGTATTTTGAATTTCTGAGGCAATGTATGTATTCACACAAATTTTCCTTTAATACAATGTAAAATGTTCATTTAAATAAAGACAAGGAGTTGTCATACTTTTACTTTACTAGGTATCAGTTGAATGTTAAAAGAATTTGAAGTTTCACCATTTACTAGAAAATGTAAACTATTCAGTCTCACCTTTACCTACCAGAAAGTCCCGTATACTTTTATCAGTTGTATAGAAGCATATCTTGAGCAACTGGTCTTTTACATTAAAGCCCTGAAGTAAACACAGAAAATCAAGAAAACTTAACATTTTGTAATAGAGCTATCTGAACCTAAACGTATGTTCAACACAGAAGTACTCTATTACAGAAATGTGCCTTGTTAGAATTCCACAGCTTTTCTGCTCTTGCAAACGTTCATTTTTCTACATTTATCATGATATTTACAGACTGTCTCTAAATCCTTAAGGTGATTTGATTTGCCAGAATGGCAAAGGCAGCAGACAGAACAATTTAGGGTAATGCCAGGCTGCCACAGGACCGAAACCACAGGTCTCTGCTATGAGGGTTCTCTCGAAGACAACTGTCAGCGCACGGAACGAGTCTGCCGCGCTGTTACCCCTGAACTCCCAGAAAATCACCATGGGCAAGACCTCAGCCACGCAGACGAGGACCACATCTCAGTCCAGGAACCCCAGCTCCAGGACATTCCTCTCTCAAATGAAGTGAAACCACGGAGCACAGAGCAAAGGTATACGCCATTTGAAAGCTCAAATGGCGATATAAGAGGTAACATAAGCAATAAAGAATGTCCCCCAACAAATAACGAGGTCCTCTGCACGCTCTGAAATGTGCGAAACCTTTTATGAGAAACATCCTTTCCCCTTCTAACCAAAGTACCAAATCTAATAGAGAACAAATGATGGAAATTCTAACCAAGAATCTCTTCCAAGAAAGTTCTTAGTACTAAAGAATGTTTCTCAGTATTACTGTCATAATTTCCCAGTAAAAGCTAAACACATTTCTTAGGTTTGTGACATGACTGTGAAAACAAATCAATTTTCCTAGCAACCAGAAACTGTATTAAACAAACAAGAGAACTTCTTTCATTAGTGACTTTATGATCAGACAAATTGTGCCACTTACCATATTCTTCAAAAGCTCAGAGGCTTCCTCTATATTGTTTTTTTTCAAATTGTCAAAGACCAAATCTAGGCCTATTCTAATCAGTTCCTCAAGTCTTTGAGCAGAATGACTGTTAATCCTGAAGAAAGTTTGTGCCTCTGGTATTCTGTTGTTTAAAATGGCATTGGCAATAACTTCCTAGGAAAAGGAAGAAAAACATCTGCCTTTTGAGTTCCTTTTTATTACCTTAATATGTTTATCAACAAGGGACTTATATATTTACTGAGTACCTCAATAAGAGACTGAAAATCTACTACTAGATTTGGGGCTTGGAAGGGGATATGAATTGACCAAAATACAGACTCTGCTCTCCAGAAGCTTTTAGACGAGTGGAAGAAATGCAAATAAAGCAGAGATTATAGTACTGCGTGATACAGGTGATGATACAGGCATTCCCAGGGTTCCAGAGAGGAGGGATCAGAGGAGGAATATCTAAATAAGAGAAATGAATAAAAAAGAGAAGGGTTCCTAGTAGAGCTGACGGATGAAGTAAAAGTTTTAAAGACAAGTTAAGTGTGATGTATGTTTAATGAGAAAAGAACATGACTCCCCAAAACAGAGAATATTTAATGTGCAGAGGCATAAGGGCAAGAAACAGTATCAAGCCTTCAGAGAACTCCAAAGTACTTAATGTAACTAGAGAAAAAGCTGAAGAGAGTAGCAAATGCGACTTGAAAGAAAAGTAGAATCTCCATCATAATGGCATGGTGTGTGAGACATGGGTTTTATCCTGAAACTCATGCAGAGCCACTGAAGGATCTTAAAAGCTAGGATGATAAAATCATACAGATATATTTGGAAGATATACATATTTTAGAAAGGACATGAAGACATTGGCATGCATGTTTTTGGAGACAGATTCCACAGCTTTCATCGAAGTGGACTGTAACCTCCCCCCAAATTAAAAATCAATGATTATGAGTAAAAAGAGCAGAGGGCCATAGATGAAACCTTGGAACACATTAAAAATGGGAAAAACAGGAAATGAAGCCAGTGAAGGAGACTGGAAGAGAGAACCCTAAGAGAGTGGAAGCAAAATCAAGTAGTTTTTGGTTAGAGAATAATTAAGAGACAGAAAACACAGTCACACAAGGTACTTCCACGTCCTTCTACCCTAAGAGGAGCCATCCTGTGATCCTGGCAGCATCTCAACCGTAGCACTTTCAAACCCTATCAATGCTGATCATCTGGGCTAAGCTATTCTGGCCTTGGTCTTTTCAATGCCAACATCCTCCAAGAGACTAGAATAGAGTTCCTCCGGTCCCTAGTCAGAAAGAGGGCCTCACAGTTTGGTTGTATTAACTTCTACTATGAAAAGAAAGCCAAGCTGAGGAGTACAGAAAACCTAACTGGCCAAATATCTTAACTAGAATCTGAGATAGAAATTGAACTGAATATACTTCCAACTATATAATGTCATAACTTTCCTAAGATAGAATCACCAGCAGCAATGTGATTCATTCAAAAGTCAGGCAGAAAGGACAAGTCCAAAGTACCATGTCCTAGATACTGAAGGAGTGCTAGTTCACGATGGGTTTGGGGTTGGGTGTTTCTCACTGGATCCAAATGGGCAGATTTGGCATAAAGAAGGTGCCTATCTGTATTCTGAATTAAATAAATGAAAAACTTGTAAACATATATTTGAAATTGTACTCAGAGATCCAAAAATCTATAAAACCTAAAAGCCTTGCCAAAGACTCTGAATCAAATGTACAGATTCTAGGGATTTTCCTGGCAGTTCAGTGGTCAAGACTCTGAGTTTTTACTGTGGGGGGTGGGGAGGGGGCGGGACTGATCCTGGGCTGGGGAACTAAGATCCCGCATGCTACAAGTGGGGCCAAAAAAAAAAAAAAAGGAAAATTATTACTATCATACATTACAATATGGATGAACCACAAGTATACAGATTTTAAATTCTATTTCTTCTATCATTTTCTCAGATTCTCTGAATCTGAAAAATAAAAGAAGTGATCATTACTCATATTTACCTCAACGCTGAGTTTCTCCCATATATTGCTCTCCTTTACTTTGAGGACATTTTCATTTACATCATATTCATCTATAGCATCTGTTAGCTTCCAGGGAAACTTAATCATGAAGCTTCGAAGTTCATCAATGTAGCTGGTCAAAATGTCCACTCCTTTCTGTAGATGTTCATCTAGCTCTATGGAAAACACCAATGTGCCAATTTCATACATAAAGTGTGTGTGTGTGAGAGAGTAGAGAGAGAGAGAAATAATTCACCATGAGCTAAATATATAACCATAATGAGGTTTACAAAATGGCAAAATTCAAACTCAGTGTTTCCAGATCAAACAAAAAAATCTGAGCTTTTTTCCTATTTACAAGTATCTCCATGTTTTAATATAACTCCCTTCACAATGGTTAGTTCTTCCTGCCAAAATTCCCAGGATTAGAACCCATTTCACTCACTCAATTACACATTACAAATGGCACTCCGCTGGCTAATGCCCTCTCGTGCAATAGGATCACTTATATATCTGTCCTGACCTAAGGGTAGGATAATTGTCCCTTTATTTCCTGCTTTTCTTACCTTCAATGTGAATAAAAAGCTCTTTTATTTGTTTGTTAAGGAAAGACAGTGTAAGGTTAAGTAACTGTTCTGAAAAGTGTTTGCTCTGGGTTTCAGAATCATTTTCTCTAATTGCTGAGCAAAGTAAATCCAGCGCTGGTGTCAGCTCTTCCACATCTGAGGAAAAACCAAAGGAAGGACTGTGAAGAACACCAGGACACTCCCAATAAAATTAACCTATCCAAAAGACGATGCTCCAATACCTTAAAACGTAAGACAAAGACCAACGTCTTCCTCTCAAAAAGCTCACAAGACTTTCATGAAGTCTTATTACCTGCAAACTTCAGGGACTCTACTTATCACGAGTCGTTATTTACTGGTATTACTAGTAACTAGGATTTTGCTGACCACCTACTCTATTTTAAATACTGTACCTGGTGTTTTATAAATGCCATCTCACTTATTCCATTTAATGACCAGAGAGGTAGGTGTTACATCTCCCTTTCCACAGATGAAGAAACTGAGATTTCAAGGGGATAAGTAACTTGTCCAAGCTAATCTGAACATGAGTGGCACAGAACAAATTTGAATGTAAATCTGTCTGATTCCAAAACCATTCTCTTAAATATACAGGGGAAGGCAAGGATGGAGGCCCCTGAATCTTCTGCAAATAAAATGATGCCTGCTCATTCTAGCATTGGCCCCCACCTCTAGAATTGTGTCTGTGTGACAATGATGGGAAACATGGGTTTTACCATGAAGAGAGCAGGAAAAGCTAACCCTATGCTTCTTATTTCCAGATCCATCCCCACCTTTTAGGGCAGAGCAGTGCAGGTGTGAGTGGAGGGAGGCGTAATCACTGACCACCGAATGGCAGAAGGGAGTAATGACCACACAATTGCTGCTGGAGTTCCCCTCAACACCACAAACCAGGTCTTTCTCTATAAATTTCTAAAATAAATTTTAAAAAAAGTGGAGCATAAAAAAAGTTAGCAGTTCAAGAGGGAGGAGGGCAAACTCTGCACTCAAAACAAGAGGATGTCAACTCACACTCAAGTGAGAACCAACAATGCACTGACTGAAAGGGTAGGCTGTTCTTTTCTCCATTTAAAGAGTATAAACTGGTAGAAATTAATCCCAATAATGGTACATACGTGAAATTATACAAACACACAGCATTTATAGCAGTTTATAGCAATTGCCAATTGCCAATGCCAACAACAGCAAAAATTAGAATCAACCTAAATGTGTAATAGGAGTGTGGTTGGGGGAACTATGGCACAGCCCAGATAATGAAATTCTGTGCCACCATAAATAGGTATACCTACTGTTATCAAGAAAGATGTCTGTAATACATTATCAAGTGAAAAAAAAAAAAAAAGCAAATTATAAAACTTTTTATGTACATGGGAAAAGACATTTTTTTACCCTATCCCTCCAAAGAGAGGATTTGCAATGACTACCTGGCTCAAGAATAAAAGCAGAGCGCCTGTTTATTAAAAATGAAAGCTAAAGTCTTAAAAAGAAGAGTTGGTAATGTAGCAAAAAAGAAAAGTCAGGATGAAAACTAAGCCAGCTGCAGTCACTATATACCTCAGATAGCAGCAAGAGTGGGGAGTTTCACAAATGAATTTTGTTTTCTTTTAAATAAAATCCTCTTAAATTTCAAGGATCATCTCTTCCTTGCATACTAAAAATACAAAGCACAGTACAGCATATGAATAATTAATATTCAATGTATAATGAGAGCATTTACAGATTCTCACAACTCTCTCAGGAGTCCAGAAAGTAGACAAAACATTATGACTGAGTCCTGGCTAGTAAATAAGTCACCAGAAAACATAACAATAATTTGAAAGTGATTAAAAAGGAAAAATGATAAATACAAATACAGAAGTCTTCATTCCACTCACGTTTTAAATATAGATGGGATGCAAAGTGATCAAACTGGTCAGATACAGAAGATTTTGAGGATGGAGTCAAAAGATTTTCTTTGCTCTTTAAAAAGAAATCTACTGTGTCCAGCTGGCGGTTTTCTATACCTGCCTGCAACGGGAGGAGATCAGGAAAAAATTACAATAGGAAAAGAAAAATCAGGATACAAATTGCTTTTTAAAACTTTACAATTTAATGTGCTAACACAGAGATACAAGGCTATCTTTATCTTGTAGGAGTATCTGAGTTCTAGTGTGGATTCTGACAACGACTGTGTAATCTAGGGCAAGTCTCTAACTTTTCGGAGCAACAGTCTGCTTCAGCAGAAACAGGTTTGAAAAGAAAACACTTCTAGCTCTGTGCATGCCAAATGCTAAGCCGCTTCAGTCCAACTGTTTGCAACCCAATGGGCTACAGCCTACCAGGAGAATCCATGGGGTTCTCCAGAAAAGAACACTGGAGTAATCAGGGTATCTTCCCAACCATTTTGTAATTCTAAAACCATTCAAAGTTAGGTACCTGGGGAATCACCCTCACAGTTAAGTTACAATCTATTTGAATTAAAATATTACAGCAGATTAATACAAAGTTAAACTGAAAAAGCAGGCTAAATACAGACTTCTGTTTCTAACTAGGAATCTGAGGAAAACTGTTCTATAAAGAACACTTAAAAATCACAGACTGAAAATTATATATAGTTGACCTTTGAACAACGCGGGGGTTAGGGACGCTGACCCTCCTACACAGTGGAAAGCCCATGTATAACTCTACAACCATCCCCCTGAATAAGAGGTTTCACACCCATGTACTCAACCTGCCTTTGACTGCGTAGTACTGCAGTACTCACTACTGAAAAAAATCCTGGTACAGGTGGACTGTGCAGCTCAAATCCATGCTGTTCAAGGGTCAATGATGGTGTATGTGCAAGCGTGCGTGTGTGTGTGTGTTTATATCTTTAAATGCTCAGTTGAACTGAAAAGAAAGTGAGAAAAATCCTCAGAATTAAAAACAAATTTCTGATGGCCTGAAGCAGGGGTTGAAAAACAGGGCAAAGCACCAAATTCAACTCCTGCCCGTCTTTGTTTTATAGGAAAACAACCACATCCATCCACTTACGTATTGTCAATGGCTACAACGGCACATCTGAGTAGTCATAACAGAAACCTGCCTGGGGTCTCTGGCCCTGGACAGAAGTTTGCCACTCTGAGGCTAAAGCATTGAACTGAAGAATCCCTCTCCAGCCTGTTCAAATGTGGGCTGCTGAGTCCAGTCCCCAGAGATTCTGATTTCCTAAGTCTGGGGTGGAGCCTGAAAATCTGCATCTCTAATACATCTCCAGAAGATGTGATGCTGCTGGTCTGGGGACCACACTGAGAATCCAAGGGCTGAGTTCTGGGTGTGAGGCCAGGTAGGCTGGGTGGTAAATACTGGTGAAAGTTATGTGTGGAGGAAAAGAAGTGAAGAAAGGGACTTCCCTGAGGGAGACAGGAAACAGACCCTGCCTTCCCACTACACAGTGAAAGGAAAAACTAAACTGTGTATGCTTAAATAAGAATATGGTTGCAAAACAGTTATTAAGTTTGCAACTTTCAAATAGTTCAGCAAAAATAAGTAACATAGTGAAAACAAATGTGGCAAACTGTTGTGTCAGTCGCTCAGTGTCCCGACTCTGTGTGACCCCATGGACTGTAGCTTGGCAGGCCCCTCTGGCCATGGGATTCTCCAGGCAAGGATACTGGAGTGGACTGCCATTTCCTGCTCCAGTGGCAAAACGTTAACAGTTGGTAAATGGAAAAGAGGTAAATGGATTTTCATTTTATAACTTTTACAATTTTTCTATAAATTTGAAAAGTTTCAAAATAACACATTTAAAAATAATGACCAAATAGTAATTCTAGAAACAATAAAAATTAAAACTCAGTGGATGTATTGAATACCAGATTAGACCTACCTGAAAAGAGAAATAGTGAGCTGAATTACCCAAAGACTCAAAGAGATTAAGATAAACTGAGCAAAGTATGAAAATTCTAACTACTTCTGATGAAAGTAAAGAACACTGTGACAACTGGAAAATGCACATTCAACTTTCATATGGAACATTTATGAAAACTGAGTGTTTATGAGGCTATACCTGAGTCTCAACAAAGTAACTCATTTGTATGCTGTCGGAGACTAAGGCCAAAGCAATGCTGCAACGCCACCTAAGCCTAATTAAACCTGCTACAGGGACATAAAACGCGTAAGGGCGGAGGCTCTGCCGTCACACTGCCTGGGTTCAAATCCTGGCACTACCAGTTACTGTCCAAGTATATCTGAATTAGGGTTCCTAACCTCTACGCTCCCTCAACTGTAAAATGGAAATGATAGTAGTTTTTATCTATTTGTAAGAAAATTAATGAGCTAGCACTGGATTATTAACAATATTTAGAAAAAATAACTATAGGAAATAACCCAAGAGTAAACATGATTACTTTGGGATAACAGATTTATAACAGACCAATTTTCTTTTTTTCTCATTCTTAAATTCTCTATAATAAATGTTTTGAAGTACATAAAGGTAAGTCTTTCAATAAATGGTACTGGTAACTGAAAATCTACATGCAAAAGAATGAGGTTGGGTCCTTTCCACTCACCATATATAAAAATTAATCAAAATGCATCAAAGAATTAGATGCAAAAACTAAAACAATAAAACTCATAACTTTCTAAGAGTAAATTTTATGACCTCTGAGAACAGGCACTGGTTACTTATGACACCAAAAGCACAAGTAACTGAAAAAAAAAAAAAACAAAACCCAAACACAAAACTCCCTAAAACAGGTAAACTAACTTCACCAAAATTAAAAACTTATGTTTCAAAGGACACCATCAAGATGCTGAAAATAAAACCCACGGAATAGGATAAAATATCTGCAGATCATACATCTCATAAGGGTCTAGTATCTAGAATATGTAAAGAACCCTTAGAACACAACAATAAAGACAAAGCACTCAATTTACAATTACAAAATGAACAAAGGATTTAAGTAGACATTTCTCCAAAGATACACAATACAAATGGCCAAAAAGCACATGAAAACACATTAGACATTAGGAAATTACAAGTAAAAACCACGATGAGATACCACTTCATGTTGACTTCACAGTCACTAGGATGGTTATGATACGACGAAACTGGACGAAACAAGTGGATTTGGAGCTATCGACTCCTTCACGTCGCTCTGGGAGTGTTCAACAGTGCAGCCACTGTAGAAAAGAGTTTGGTGGTTCCTCAAAAAGTTAAAATAACTTGCTAATTCTACTGCCAGGTGTATACCCAGGAGAAACAAAAAAAATATGGTGATACAAAAAAACTAGTACACCACTTTTCACAGTAGGAGAATTCGTAATAGCAAAAAAGGAAAAACCACCTAAATGTCTATTGATGATGAATGGATTAAAAATATGTGCTGTATCCGCATAATGGAAAGCTACTCAGACATAAAAATGAGTGAAGTCCTGACATGCGCTACATGGATGAACTCTGAAGACAAGCTAAGTGAAAGAAGTCGTCACAAAAGGCCACACAGACAAAGCAGATCAGTGTGTGGAAATGATGGTGTGTTAAGAGTTGGGAGTGACTGCTAATGGGGTGAAAAAAGTGAGAGTGAAAACACTAGACAGTGAGGATGGCTGTACAACTCTGAACATAACTATACTAACTCATAGGTAAATGATACTGCTACCCATAGACAGGTGAATGTTACAGTACGTGAATTGTATCTCAATAAAGCTGCCACTAAAAGACGAGTCTGGTATGTAACTTTATTAACTTCTAGTTTTCAACCTTTCCACGTGGCACAGTAGTTAAGTGCCCTGATGCCCTGAGTTTGACTCTAGCTCCTGCCTTATTAGTACAGCTATGGGCCATTCAATTGTTTTGAGTCTTAGGTTTCCCATATGTAAACTGAAATGAATACAAACTACCCACCTCGCCACCTGTGGTTATTTTAGCACAGTGTAGAGGACGCACAGATCAGAGTGTGTGTGACCTACATGTTGCTGCTTAGCCCCTGAAGTCCCGTCTGGCTCTTTTGCAACTCCATGGGCTGCAGCCCACCAGGCTCCGCTGTCCATAGGCTCTCCCAGGCAAGAATGTTGGAGTGGGCGAACTGAAAAATGCTGTATAAATTCAGGTATGTCACTATTAGAGCAGGATGAGAGTGGTGGGGAAGATAAACCAGGAATGAGTGATCACTCCTCCTTGAGCTTCCCATAGCTTGTTTCCACTTCATTTATTCTCATTAGCTTATTGTTGCCTCCATCTTTTGTAACTTTTTCTTTCTTTCAGTTCAGTTCAGTTCAGTTGCTTAGTCCTGTCCGACTCGACTCTTTGCGACCCCATGAATCACAGCACGCCAGGCCTCCCTGTCCATCACAAACTCCCGGAGTTTACTCAAACTCATGCCCATCGAGTCAGTGATGCCTTCCAGCCATCTCATCCTCTGTCGTCCCCTTCTCCTCCTGCCCCCAACTCCTCCCAGCATCAGGGTCTTTTCCAATGAGTCAACTCTTACATGAAGTGGCCAAAGTACTGGGAGTTTCAGCTTCAGTATCAGTCTTTCCAATGAACACCCAGGACTTATCTCCTTCAGGATGGACTGGCTGGATCTCCTTGCTGTCCAAGAGACTCTCAAGACTCTTCTGCAACACCACAGTTCAAAAGCATCAATTCTTTGTCGCTCAGCTTTCTTCACAGTCCAACTCTCATATCCATACATGACTACTGGAAAAACCATAGCCTTGACCAGATGGACCTTTGTTGGCAAAGTAATGTCTCTTCTTTTCAATATGCTATCTAGGTTGGTCATAACTTTCCTTCCAGGGAGTAAGCATCTTTTAATTTCATGGCTGCAGTCACCATCTGCAGTGATTTTGGAGCCCAAAAAAATAAAGTCTGACATCATAGCCTTAACTAGATGGTCCTTTGTTGGCAAAGTAATGTCTCTGCTTTTTAATATACCACCTAGGTTGGTCACACCTTTCCCTCCAAGGAGTAAGCGTCTTTTAATTTCATGGCTGCAATCACCATCTGCAGTTGATTTTGGAGCCCCCCCAAAATAAAGTCTGCCACTGTTTCCACTGTTTCCCATGAAGTGATGGGATCAGAGGCCATGATTTTTGTTTACTTCATGTTGAGTTTTAAGCCAACTTTTCCACTCTCCTTTTTCACTTTCATCAAGAGGCTCTTTAGTTCTTCTTCACTTTCTGCCATAAAGGTGGTGTCATCTGCACATCTGAGGTTATCAATACTTCTCTGGCAATCTTGATTCCAGCCTGTGCTTCATCCAGCCCAGCGTTTCTCATGATGTACTCTGCATATAAGTTAAGTAGGCAGGGTGACAATATACAGCCTTGACACACTCCTTTCTCTATTTGGAACCAGTCTGTTGTTCCATGTCCAGTTCTAACTGTTGCTTCCTAATCTATATTCAGGTTTCTCAAGAGGCAGGTCAGGTGGTCTGGTATTCTCATCTCTTTCAGAATTTTCCACAGTTCATTGCGATCCACACAAAGGCTTTGGCATAGTCAATAAAGCAGAAACAGATGTTTTTTCTGGAACTCTTGGTTTCTCCTTGGTCCACTGGATGTTGGCAATTTGATCTCTGGTTCCTCTGCCTTTTCTAAAACCAGCTTGAACATCTGGAAGTTCACGGTTCACATATTATTGAAGCTGGGCTTGGAGATTTCTGAGCATTACTTTACTAGCGCGTGAGATGAGTGCAACTGTGCAGTACTTTGATCATTCATTCTTTGGCAGTGCCTTTCTTTGGGACTGGAATGAAAACTGACCTTTTCCAGCCCTGTGGACACTGCTGAGTTTTCCAAGTTTGCTGGCATATTGAGTGCAGCACTTTCACAGCATCATCTTTTAGGATTTCAAATAGCTCACCTGGAATTCCATCACCTCCACTAGCTTTGTTTGTAGTGATGCTTCCTAACAACCACTTGACTTCACATTCCAGGATGTCTGGCTCTCAGTGAGTGATCATATCGACGTCATGATCATCTAGGTCATGAAGATCTTTTTTGTATAGTTCTTCTGTGTATGCTTGCCACCTCTTCTCAATATCCTCTGCTTCTGTCAGGTCCATACCATTTTTGTTCTTTATTGTGTCCATCTTTGTATGAAATGTTCCCTTGGTATCTCTAATTTTCTTGAATAGATCTCTAGTCTTCCCATTCTGTTGTTTTCCTCTTTTTCTTTGCACTGATCACTAAGGAAGGCTTTCTTCTCTCTCCTTCCTCTTCTTTGGAACTCTGCATTCAGATGGGTATATCTTTCCTTTTCTCCTTTGCTTTTCACTTCTCTTCTTTTCACAGCTATTTGTAAGGCCTCCTCCTCAGCCATTTTGCTTCTTTGCACTTCTTTTTCTTGGGGATAGTCTTGATCCCTGACTCCTGTACAAAGTCATGAACCTCTGTCCACAGTTCATCAGGCACTCTGTCTATCAGATCTATTCTCTTGAATCTATCTGTCACTTCCATTATATAATTGTAAGGAGTTTGATTTAGGTCATACCTAGAAGGGTCTAATGGTTTTCCCTACTTTTTTCTATTTAAGTCTGAATTTGGCAATAAGTAGTTCACGATCTGAGCCACAGTCAGATTTCTTTCTTAAACAGTGTTCATTATAATATGTTATCTTCAAAGCCAAAAAGGGTAAGTTGCTAAGCAGACTTAGGGTAATGAAACAGCCAGAACTAAGCAAAAGGATGGGTAAAGGCTGCATATCTTTTGTTGCTAGGCTGCAAGTGTCTCCCAAATCTTTAGCCAGGTAACAGTAAACAACAGAAAATAACCGAACATCATCATACTACAGACACTTAATTCTGTTACCTCCAGTGCATGTATGGGGATGGAACACCGCCCCCAACCATTAAGATGACAGAGAGAGTCCACAGTGCTGGCACTTCCGTGGATCATCAGCCTATTTAAAAATTCCTCTTGAGTCAAACCAAACAAAATCAGAGACAGTCCACTTTCTACAAGACAAAAAGTCAGCTTTAATAAATTATTTGGACTTAGGTTTTAGTGTTATGACAGGAATTAATTTCTAACTACTCAATACTTCAGCACTGTAATTACTAATGTTTATTGGGTACTGGTAACTAATGACCTCAATTAATAAATTCATAATAATTTTTCAAAGAATAATTTCATTTTTGAAAACAGTAAACACAAGACAAATTCTCATAAGAACAATGCATCCTATGAAATAGCACTAAACCCCTCTACTTTGTACAGTCTTGCATAATCAATACTGTCTTCACTGTCTCTTGTATAATCTTGTATAATTGTATTTTGTATAATGTACAAAATTGTATCTTGCACAATCAATACCTGGAAACTTTACCAAAATAAAGCAATTAATAGCATGCTCTGATACACAGAAATACATGATTACCAAAATTGAGATACTGAAGAAGAAACACATAGTTCAATCAGAACACTCAGTAGCTTTACAGGAAATTATGGCATAAATGCTGAATCAACATATATCTGACACACCAAACCCAAATACCTATGGGAGCCACGCAGGCGGGGAGAGAAGTACAAGGAAACACAACCAAAAAGTAAAAAACAAAAACAAAACAAAATAAACAACCTGAAAGGAACTGGCCCATCTAAGACCACTGAAATTTGGCTTCAATGCATAAATTGGAGGAGGGATGAGGGCCAGTGGGACAAATCTTTTAATCTTTCAGTAATGACTGAAATGCCAGATTGTGTGAAATCCTCTTAACTTTACATGCTTATAATAAATAAAATCTTTTTAAAAGTCTAGGTAGTGCAGGCCAAACAAAATAAATCTGAGTTCATACACGGTCCACGAGCTACCAGCTTGCAACCTCTGCCTACATAGACTGAAGTCCCGTGAAAGACCTGCGAGGCTAAAAACCAACCTTTCTTAAACTCTTTCTGACTTAGTATCCTAAGCATTTAGCTGAGCAGAATTAATCTTAACTAAAAATCAAACACAAGGACAACAGTACTAAGAGTAACACCGAATTTTCTCCATCAAAGCTTAGGCTCAGAGGTGCGAGCAGGCACCAGCACCACTCAGGCAGCAGAAGTAAAACCGGCATTAGGGCAGCCCTCAGTGTGGATTTCAACCTGTTAAAAGATGTCCTCACCTGTCAAGACGAGGCACAGCTGCCGGTCTCCACCACTGTCTACAGGAATACATTTTTTGCCCAGCAAAAAACACTGCATACTCTGGGTCTCCAAGTCCCACAGGACAATGGTCCAGCCTGTCCTTTCCCCTGCCCAAGTGAACAGTGCAGTGAAGCCTGTCACAGACACACAGGCAAGCTCAAGGGACTCCTCCTGTTCCCTGATGTGCATCCTTTTCCACACTCTTCCTGGACCACTGGTCCTGGCAGGGCCTTTCTGTGGAAAGTTACACGGGCTGCATGTGACATCCTGTGGAATGAAGGCCCCATCTGACACACCGGTACTGCGGTTGCCAGATGCGGGGGACTCCGGATGTGAAACATCCTGGTACCATGGAGCACGGCAGGAACCTTCCAGCTTGGAGCTCTTTATTGTTTCATTCAGTGATGACAGCTGGGCTTTCCAAGACCTGGGAAATAGGACAGAACTCACATCTGTGATAGTGAAAGGCAGTAAGTGAGGCATTAAACCAAGCAAAAATGCACTTAGGGAAATAAAAGTATCTACTCTGTAAAGACTTAAGTGAAAAGGTTTGGTGTCAGCCTCACACACACACACAAAAATGAAATAAAGTAAATCTAAAAAGGAGCTTTCTGTACCTATCAATTCGGAAGGAAAACTTGGTCAGTTTCATGTTGTAGTCAGAATTAACAGGATCATCTTCATCTATCCCCTGGGGACCTTCAATAGGGATGTCTTGTAGAGTTTTTTCACATAACAGGTGTCCTGGGTATTGCCTATGTTTTAAAAACAATAGCCATGGTAAAAAGTGATGGTCAAACCCAAATCCATGTTATTGCCTCTGCTGTTAAAAATGGAAAGGGAAATGGTGTGGAGGTGTTACAGAGCAGAAACAGTATAGACAGTAAGTTTCGCTGACCTAGACGCCTTACCTCCATTGCGTCAGACACACTGATAAAGCTATGTTGTGTATATGAAGCTAATAATATAACATTATATGGTAATTACATCAATTAAAAAAATTTTTACCCTTAGGGGAAGTTAGTTTTATGAAGAAACAAGAGCATGTATTATCTACTACAATGTAGATGTGAAGCTAAAAACTTTTACCTGAACTAATGTATTTGAATTTTTCAACAACCCTATGAGGTAAATATAAGCCAGTTTTGTAGCTGTAGAAACTAAGGCTCAAAGAAAACAGTGCAGCTGGATCTGAGCCAGGTAAATGTGACCTAAGCCCAGGCGTTTAATCGCCCACCACCACAGAGTGAGATTTAGGCTGAGACCAGGGAAACACATAATAGCTAGGAAAGCAAAGTCTGAGTGCAGGTGCAGATGCAGACTGTATATAAGATGAGGCTGGAGAGCTTTGCAAGAGACAAATGGGGTCAGGTTTTATGGGTTACTAAGGATTGTTAGCTTTCATCTTGGGGAAGGAGGAAAGAAGCTAGAGAAGGGCTTTAAGCAGAGAAGCCGTATGATCAGACACAGGGGAGTGGCTGTGGGAGACCGGCATGTATGTAACCCCCGAGCACTTAGTTAAATTATTAACCGTTTCAACAATTTGAAGGTAACAGCGTGACTTGCATTTGTCAAAGAGATGATGTTAGAGAAGGCAGGGTGAAAATGAAGAAATATGATCTGTGGAGAAGGCAGTTCCCCTGCCAATAAAACATATATACTCTGTCCCCACATGTTCATACCTGCCTACACTCTGAAAAGATGTGCACTTTAACAACACCACTCTGGCTACTCAGATTCAGAGGGTGAATCTGAGGTGGGGGGAAGAACAGATACAGTGAGACCAATTATGAGGTTGGTAAGCTAGTTAGGGTAAGTGATGACAGCAGCATGGATCAAAGTGATGACAAAAGAGTTAAGAAAAGTGGAAAAGATTCAAGAAGCCCTCAGGAGCTAGAATGACTAGGACCTGGTGATTAGATGGACGTGGATGCTTAAGAGGCTGGAGATCTAGAAAAGACAGGAAACAGAAAATGGTCCCTGAGAAGGAGGGAAGGAATGGGATTCAGAGCACACACAGAGGGATGGGCCTGCATGGGAGCAGGGAATCCCTTCCCTGTAACAGGACAGAAGAAGGAGAAGATGAGGGCAGGAAAGTGAGAAATTTCATGTGAGAAACTGAAGGAGCTCCCGTGAGATGGGGTCTACTTCCTTTATAAAGTAGGAGGTAAGGTCATCCAAGAACAGTTGGGGGTAAAGAGATGAATAAAGGTTTGAGAAAAACGGATGTTTAAAACATTGCTGTAAAAAAAAAAAAAAATGCACTCATGAAAAAAATCACTGTAAAGTTTCCAGGCAACAAGAGAGACCACACAAAGCAGGAGTGTGAACTTTCAGTGGCACCAACTTTTATCTGCGGTGTTCTCACAAGTGCTCAGTTGTGTGGATGAAGGGAGTAAGACAGAATTAAAAAACATGTTGGACCAAGTGCTATCACACAGCAGGAACAAGAGTTTAGGGCGCATTCAAAAAAGTGAATACAATGACAGGTCACAGAATCTATGCTATAAAAAGAGGGAAGTGAAGACAGAGGGAGATGCAGTCGTCACTTGTGATGTCAGTGTATGGGAATTCCAGTGAAGTCAGACGAGACAAGTGGGGGTACCTGAGTAAGCAAAATGTAGTTCAGGAAGTTGTGGTCAGAGTGGCATGTGTGGAAAAGTGATTTAGGGGAGGAATAGTTTCGTATACTGACAAAGCCCAGGTTATGACTATGAGAATGGACAGCTAAGGTAAACCGTGAGAAAAAGCTACTGACAGCAAACTGAATGAACAAATCACATGGAGCTTACATGAGCTTACAAACTCTATAGGAAACACAAAACATTGGAGAAGTAATGAAAGACTACACAATTAAGTGCTAAACTGTAGTTCAAAGCAAAAAGTGCCAAAGAAGTTCAAAGAGAAGAAAAATTATAAAATGAGCAGAAATTTACAAGTGGAAGGGATTTTAGTAAGGAATGACTTCATAGAAGAGGTGGATCTCAGAGTGGGAATAGGACTTGATAAAACGAAAAGGGGTGGCTGATATTCCATATGGCGGGAAGGAAGAACTAGGGCTGGAGGCAGGAATGGAAAAAATACTTTTAGGTTTCAGAGTATACTTAGAAAATATATAGAATCAAGTTCCTCGAGAAGTTATACTAATTAAAGAGCACTCACGTAGATAAGTAACAAATAGAGATAGATTTGTTTATTTAGATGGACAGCAAAGATCCCCAAATTGACTATAGGGAAGGGAGCAGAAGTTATTCACTGGCTGATGTTACAGTGGCTGAGTTCAAAGGAATTTATCCCAAGGAATGTGCCTGGTGCCCCCTTCAGGGTTCTCTTGGGGTACTGCCAAAACACCCAGAGGAACAGAACCCTGCACTCAAGGATCAGGGGAGGTAAGTGGGTTTTCCTTCCTCTTCACCTGTTTTCCAAGGAAACTGATTAGGAGGTACCTCCTACTCTACATATACAAGATGTATTTCAGTCAGTGAAAATGGCCTGCTGATACACAAGCATACAATCTGAAAACGTGATAATCATCCTGGCTTAAAAATTCTAAAAAAAATATGTTAAAAAGCCATCGAAAACAAGTGAAAAAATCACAGTACTAAGAAGTTCTGGCTGATATGTGAGGATGAAATTAACTCATTGAAGTACATTCTCAATTACTCAAGGATATGTTTATTTCATTCATATTAAGCTAGGACCAAAAATCCTAATGGCTTGAAACATCCCTTAATTCTGAAAGTCATAAATGTTGATTAGCCTACTTGCAAGTTGCAATAAATAGATGCTGTGTACATGGATATGCACAGTGTACATGGATATGCACAATCAGATACAAACATATTCCTTTCCAACATAAGATAAGAAGCAACTAGAATTTCTAAATCAAAAAGCTACACACAGAAGTAATCAATTTTCACTAAAATGTTCAGAAAGTTGCAGGTGTGGGCCCTCCAAGGGAAACACCTGAGAAAACCCTAAGATGGAAAAAGGTGGATCCCATAGGCGGCCAGGACCATAAGCCACATAAGATACAATTCTAACAGGGTAAATCCCATTTTTCTTCTACTCTGGTGTTGGAAAGAAGTGAGGAGATTATGTATAATAGCTAAGAGTTTTTAAAATTGTGCTTGGTTACTTTTTACATATGATGACATAAGCTATCTATAATATAGATCAAAATAAAAACTTGGCTATGCATCCAGGAACAAAAAGTAGCCAGTAGTCATCTGTACATATTTTTATATAGTAACAAGCTCACTATGTAGTACCTAGAATGTTATCAATTAGATAGAGGAAGAAAACTGGTTAAAAGAAAGGAAAAAAAGGCTAACAAGTACATTTTTTAGCCTCTTATGGCTCTAATTATTTACCTCAAATTAGAGAAGGAAGCAATCCACATACCTGAAGTACAAATTCAAGTTAAGAGCAACTGCAGTGCTGGAGACGCCCACAACCACTACAACATCCAGGTCCTGAGACACTTTCAGTGAAGTAAATGAAGAACTCCTGGCTGGCTCCTGTTGCTGCTCATTACACGCATCTTCTTGAGGAAGTGCTAAATCCACATGAGCTATTTGTCTACCATCCACAATGTCAAAAATGTCTTTGAGTTAAGAGTTAAGGAAAATGTCAGTCTTAAGTATGCCCAAACACTTAAAACACAGAACAGGACAGAGTTGTAGATCTCATTGTTCCAACCTTGTAGGTATAATAACAGGAGAATGGACATTAAAGAACCCATCACGTTAGCCAGGTGACTATGACTTTAGTGACCCAATGAACAACTTGACAGAGAGTTTATTCAACAATGCTCGCTGAATCTCCACTCTGTGCCAGCCCCCGAGACATCACTAACAGTTTCCACTAGTGTTCTGCAACAGTGCTCTTCGAAAGAAACGGTGTGAGGCACATTTGTCATTGTAAATTTTCTAGCAGCCTTATTAAAAAAGTAAAAAGAAATCAGGGAACCTAATTTTAATACATTATTTAACCCAGTATATCCAAAATACTCTCTCTACATGTAATTAATATTAACATTGATACATTTTACATATTTTTTTCAAACTGTTCAAATTGAGTTATTTTATACTTATAGCACATCTCAATTGGGACAATTTTCATTGCAATTATCTGGTCTGTATTTAGACTGCAAAAATTTATACTTAAGAACTTGAACAGTCAAGTTGTTCCAAACATATTCTAAAGTTCTCCAATAACTGAATCAAGTATCAGACATTACAGTAATTAAATACAAGTAAGAATTCAGTTTCTCAGTCACACTAGCCAGTTTCAAGTGTTCAATAGTCACATATGCCTACTGCCTACAATGTCAGATAGCGCAGTTCTGTAACCTGGCAATAAAAATGAAGTTAACCCAATATTCTCTAACACTTTTTGTAACAGCCTGTATTTTTACAAAAGAAATTTTAATACAGACTATGATATATATAAAATGCTACTACTTGGTCACTACCATGGTAGATCAGTGGTCAAGAATCTGCCTACAACGCAGGAGACACGTGTTTGATCCCTGAGTTGGGAAGATCCCCTGGAGGAGGAAATGGCAACCCACTCTCCAGTATTCTTGACTGGAGAATCCCATGGGCAGAGGAACCAACAGGCTACATCCCAAAAAGTTGGACACAACTGAACACGCACGCATACAAACGATATATGTAAAATAGGGAAAAAGTGAAATAAAAGTTCTAAAAACACTACTATAAGGGGTCATTCTTCAAACAATCTTCAAATAATTTTTAATATAATCCTGCTGGTGACCTATGAATCTGCTAAGGACAAAAAATTCTGTGACAGTTTCCAAAAACAAACTTAAAATGGTTATGCAAACCATACGATTTCCTAATATAACAGAAGCATTAGAGGCAGTAAGAGATAAACATTATACTCATACACAAAAATGTGTGTATTACATCATAAGCAGTCATCTAAATCCCTCCTGGAACAAGCACAAAATGGACATTTAATAAATAATATTTTAAATAAATGGGTAATGCAGAATATACCCAATTTAAAAACATAAACTGGATGATTATGACTATGAAAAAATATATATTTATAAACTGAAAAATACCTGAATGGACTATAAAGCAATGCAGTTGAGTATCTGAAGCTCATGAACAGCTTTTTCTCTGAAAGTTTTACTGAAAAAGTAATCATTCCACCGATAGCCCAGACCCTAAACTCAAAAGCCTTAAAAAGGCTCATTTTCCTAGGTATTCTCCTCCCCCCGACATCAATATCTTTACCAAACAGGATACAGATCCAGCCTAAACTACTCAAAACAAAGAGAACTCCTCTGCAGAGCTGCGTGTCAATAATCCTGTCCACTGCCTGCGCAGGTAAGGGTAATGTGAAACAGCTGAGTACCCTAATCGCAGTATCTCTTTCAGGAAACATAACATGCAGGACAACACACTTGTTGATGAACAATAATGATGTGTTGTTGTGAAATGACAGAATTCTCAAAGACAGTAAGAAAATACCTATAAAACGAAAGAAATATTACATCAAACACATGGGTCACAATTTTACAACTGGTAAATCTGGTGCTGTTAACATAACACAAACAGACAAAACAAAAAAGAATCAGCATTTATCTTAATCCAACTCTAGACAATTACTGATCAAACTCAGTTAAGCAAGTGGTCACTGGAAGGTAGGTAAGGGAATGAATAAAGATGACCTACGATCTCTCTGTGCCTTCTGTTTAAGGTCAGAGTGTGATGGAAAAACCCACAAGATGATTAAAAAAGGTTCCTTACCCACGAGACCGCATAAGAATGATCAGACTCTTTTTTTTTTTTTTTTAAAGGAAAAGAAGAAACATAAGCATGGTGGCAAGAATGCTACTGCCTTACAAACAGATGCCAGTGTGCTTTGATTTCTGCTCCCTGAAGCCCTCAGGATAGAATGTAGCAAACAGCTCTGTGACCAGCCTAGATCAGCAGATTAACCCAGAGAAATATAACGGGCAGCCACAAAAGTGAGCCACATGTATAATTTTAAATTTTGCAGTAACTGCATTGAGAAAAGAAACAGGCTAAACTAATTTTATTATATTATTTAACTCATCTTCAAAACATCAACATGTAACTAATACAAAAGCTATTAATGAAATATTTTACTTTTTTAGTACCAAGTTTTCAAATCTGGAATGTACTTGACATTTAAAAGACATATTAATTCATATTAACTACATTAACAGCTTAACAGCCTCATGTAGCTAAAGCCTACTATACTAGACAGGGCATTAACAGCTTAACAGCCTCATGTAGCTAAAGCCTGCTATACTAGACAGGGCAAATATCCCTCCCTGATTTTACCTCTATAAGAACTATTCCTGAAATATATAAAATTACATAGTAAAGCAGATTCACACATGCTGAAAGACTACCTGCAAAAACTTACTGATATCTTGATCTTCAACAAGCTTCTGCAATGTCTCCTCACTATAGCTATACAAAACGGTTGCATCACATCTTCCATCTTCCAAATTAAATTCATAGATGAGCAGTTCATAATTTTCACTAACAGCAAGCAGTCTGGGCTTGTCGTTTGGTGTCCCACTGTGACGAGAATCCTCCCATACAAACCTAAGGAAAAAGTCTAGACTATTATTATATCCGACATCCACAATAATACTTACCCACAATGGTGAGGGTAAAATGAAAGAAAGAGTAGAGAACTTTTTGGTTCACCTAAGCTTTCATTCTATATACAACCTAACGGAATGTAATCTGTTCTAGATTTCGGCCCCCTTTCCCTTTCTCCTTCCCCTTTCTCACTTCTTTCCCCTCAACATCCTTCAGGGCAACACAGGAATACAGGAGTGGGTTGTGAAGAGGGGGCAAAGGGCAAGAAATGGTGGCTGCTCTCATTCCATTTCATCCTAAATCCCAACTGATGATATGCTTAAAGAAACTGTCATGCTCAAGGATAAGTTTCAATAACCAAATGTCTATTATTTATAAGAGATGGTCTTCACAATTAACAAAAAATGTTCTGCTAGCATAAATGCTTTCAAAAATGATTATTTGTATTTATAGACTTCGAAGACTTTAAAGAGGCATATCATAGAATAGCTCTGTCCAACAGAACTTTCCATGAGATGGAAGTGTTGTTCTACGAATCTGCAAGGTCCAATACAAGTAGCCAACTGCCACATGGGGCTACTGAGCACTTGAAACATGCTCAGCGAGTGCAACCGATGAACTAAATTTTCAATTTTAAGTCACATGTGGCTAGTGGCTACCATACGGGGCAGTGCAGTTATAAAATATATAACGCAGTACAAAGTCAACACACCAACATGGCTAACAAGGAGGCAAAGAGGCTATGAATGCTACAGCTTCAAATTAAATAAAATTGTTACATTTAAAAATAAAAGAGCCCAGATTCCGAAAATAATGCAGATGAAGTTACCATGCTGATAAAATTTCATCTTTTTTAAAAAAGGCTTTTTTCCACAAAAGTAATGTTTTATATCTAAAAACAGTGAACTCAGTGTTATGTCAGAGAAAAAATACTGACATTTTGTATTTTTGTCTTTATGCCTAGAATGACGTTTCATAAACAGCCAATACCTGACTACTTACACTGAAATCTGAAAATGTCAAATATGGAAATGGCTAAACAAATTAAAATATATTTAAAAGCAAAATACTGTGAAAGGAGTAACATCATTAGCATATGGGACCATACTGCCACGTGAAAAGACAGCTTTTTCAGTGAGCAGATTACAAAATGCACAGTGATTCAACAATATACAAAAGACTGTGTATATCGGCATAGTCTATCGACATGCGATGTGGGCAGAAAAGTAAAAGTCGCTCAGTCGTGTCCGACTCTCCTGCATTGCAGGCGGCTTCTTCTATCAGGGAAGCCCCACTGGTAGAAAAGTAGGAAGCAAATTCTGTACCCTATAAATTTGTCCGTATTTTTACCCTATGAATTATACGAATTAAAATTTAATTAAAAAAAAAAGCTAAAACGTTGTCTTCCATGATCTTCCTCCCACTAATTTCATGCAATAGCTTACATATGCCCCCAATTATTTCATGTCAGTTCTGCTTATTTTCTGTTAGGATCTCTGACTCATTCCTCTCTTTACAGGACTGTGTTCATCGGTACTTAATAACGTTGAATCAACTAACTTACGAAGGAGGGAGAATCCTTTTCCTAGCAGCTAGAGACCAGGAATAAAGAAAACATGAAACCCACTGAAGCATTCAGGGATTTACCAAACTAAATCTCTACTGTAAGGCACTGTTATAAGAGCTGGAAATTGCAAGACTCTTCTTTGCCTACTAAAGTCGTAAAGAGAACATTTCTAAAACGTTCTATTAAAGACTCCAAATCCTCGGACAGCACTCTTAAACTTAACGATATAAAATGTTAAGAGTCACAAAATGACTTAGTTTCTTTGTCTTCTCTACCACACAGCCTCAAGTGTATCAAGAACTGTCTTACTACACCTTTTAGGCACTACTCCTAGGTAACGAGCAGCGCGCATAATAAGCACTTGTCAGGAAAATACGTTAATGAGTAGAAAAAGCAGGCTCTATCTATTCTTCAAAGGGGAGCGGGGGGAGGAAGCCCAAACGTGAAGGAAACAGCTATCTGTATCGCGTATTAGAATAATAACAGGACAATCCAAATGAGATTATGCCCCCCCGGGCAGGCGTCTTCAACAGATTTAACAGAAGAAAATGTAAGTGGGGTACAGCACGGTGACGAGAAATCGAACTATGTCGAACGAATAAAAAGCTCAGCTCCCAAACAGGGACTCCTACAGCTCCCCGCGTGCGGAGGGCCTGGGTGCGGTCTCCGCCCGCCGGGAACAGGTGAGGTGAACACGACCATCTTGCGGCTCGGAGGGGGCCAGGCCCGCCTTAGGCGGGCGCCCCGCCGTCACTCCGCTCCCGCCGCCCCCAGGCCAGCAGAGGCGCGCTCCCTCACCGCCCGGCCCGGCCGCAGCTCTTACTGCCGAAAACAGCCTTCCAGGCGGCAGTCGCCCCCACCTCGGCCGCCCGGCGCCAAGGGGAGCACGTGAAGGCTGCCTGCGGCCGTCAGACTCCCCAGGACCGCCTGGTCTCTGTGCAGCTGCGCCCGGGACCCCAGGCGCACTGCGGCCTCGGCGGGGACCGGCACCAACAAAACGGGAAGCACCCGCTCCTCCGCAGCCATCCTTGCCCGCCGTCCCTTCCGGCCCGCGCACCTCGTCGTGCGCCTGCGCGGTGCTTCCGACCCACTCTCCACCTCGTGACCCCCCCCTCCCCCGCTGCGTCGTGCGCCTGCGCCGTGCGTCCGACCCACTCTCCACCTCGTGACCCCCACTCACCCCCGCCCCCCAACCCCCGTCGCGTCCCACGCCTGCGCGGTGCGCCGACCCTGTCCCCGCCTCAGGACGCGCGGCGCCGCGCCCACCCCAGCGAAAGCGTGTCTTCCTTTGTTTCAGGGCGAGAAAGGTGGCGGGGGTCTTTGTTAGGGGCCGAAGAGGGACGTGGCAACTATTTCCAATGTTACGTCATCCTCTGCTCTCTCACCCTTGCTGCCGCCCATCTACGGAGGCCAGCCCCTGCCTCTCTATCCACTTCCTCAGTTCAGCTCAGTCTCTCAGTCGTGTCCGACTCTTTGCGACTCCATGGACTGCACCACAGCAGGCCTCGCTGTCCATCACCAACTCCCGGAATTTACTCAGACTCATGTCGGTCGAGCCAATGATGCCATCCAACCATCTCATCCTCTGCCATCCCTTTCTCCTCCCGCCCTCAATCTTTCCCAGCATCAGGGTCTTTTCCAATGAGTCAGTTCTTCCCATCAGGTTGCCAAAGTATTGGAGTTTCAGCTTCAACATCAGTTCTTCCAATGAACACCCAGGACTGATCTCCTTTAGGCTGGACTGGTTGGATCTCCTTGCAGTTCAAGGGACTCTCAAGAGTCTTCTCCAACACCACAGTTCAAAAGTATCAATTCTTCAGCGCTCACCCTTCTTCACAGTCCAACTCTCACATCCACACATGACTACTGGAAAAACCATAGCTTTGACTACTTGGACCTTTGTCGGCAAGGTAATGTCTCTGCTTTTTAATAGGCTGTCTAGGTTGGTCATAACTTTTCTTCCAAGGAGCAAGTGTCTTTTAATTTCATGGCTGTAGTCACCATCTGCAGTGCTTTTGGAGCCCCGAAAAATAAAGTCTGTCACTGTTTCCACTGTTTCCCCATCTGTTTGCCATGAAGTGATGGGGGCCAGGTACCATCTTAGTTTTCTTTATGTTGAGTTTTAAGTCAACGTTTTCTCTCTCCTCTTTCACTTTCATCAAGAGGCTCTTTAGTTCTTCACTTTCTGCTATAAAGGTGGTGTCATCTGCATATCTGAGGTTATTGAGATTTGTCCCAGCAATCTTGATTCCAGCTTGTGCTTCATCCAGCCCAGCTTTTCTCATGGTGTACTCTGCATATAAGTTAAATAAGCAGGGTGACAATATACAGCCTTGAGATACTCCTTTTCCTATTTGGAACCACTCTGTTGTTCCCATGTCGAGTTCTAACTGTTGCTTCCTGACCTGCATACAGGTTTCTCAAGAGGCAGGTCAGGTGGTCTGGTATTCCCATCTCTTTCAGAATTTTCCACAGCTCGTTATGATCCGCACAGTCAAAGGCTTTGGTGTAATCAATAAAGCAGATGTTTTCCTGGAACTCTTCTTGATTTTTCTATGATTCAACGGATGTTGGCAATTTGATCTCTGGTTCCTCTGCCTGTTCTAAAACCAGCTTGAACATCTGGAAGTTCATGGGTCATGTATTGCTGAAGCCTGGTTTGGAGAATGTTGAGTATTACTTTACTAGCATGTGAAATGAGTACAATTGTGTGGTAGTTTGAGCATTCTTTGGCATTGCTTTTTTTGGGGATTGGAATGAAAACTGACCTTTTCCAGTCCTGTGGCCACTGCTGAGTTTTCCAAATTTGCTGGCATATTGATTGCAGCGCTTTCACAGCATCATCTTTTAGGATTTGAAATAGCTCAACTGGAATTCCATCACCTCTATTAGCTTTGTTTATAATGATGCTTCCTAAGGCTCACTTGCTTTCGAATTCCAGGATGTCTGGCTTTAGGTTGGTGATCACACCATTGTGATTATCTGTGTCGTGAAGATCTTTTTTTGTATAGTTCTTCTGTGTATTCTTGCCAAATCTTCTTAATATCTTCTGCTTCTGTTAGGTGCATGCCATTTCTGTCCTTTATTGTGCCCATCCTTGCATGAAATAGTCCCTTGGTATTTCTGATTTTCTTGAAGAGATCTCTAGACTTTCCCCATTCTATTGTTTTCCCTCTTTTTCTTTGCGTTGCTTTCTGAGGAAGGCGCTCTTATCTCTCCTTGCTCTTCTTTGGAACTCTGCATTCAAATGGGTATATCTTTCCTTTTCTCCTTTGCTTTTCACTTCTCTTCTATTCACAGCTATTTGTAAGGCCTCCTCAGACAACCATTTTGCCTTTTTGCATTTCTTTTCTTTGCGGATGGTCTTGGTCACTGCCTCTTGTACAATGTCACAAACCTCCCACCATAGTTCATCAGGCACTCTACCAGATCTAATCCCTTGAATCTGTTTGTCACTTCCACTGTATAATCATAAGGGATTTGATTTAGGTCATACCTGAATGGTCTAGTGGTTTTCCCTACTTTCTTCAATTTAAGTCTGAATTTGGCAATAAGGAGTTTATATTCATAGTCTGTGCCACAGCCAGCTCCCAGTCTTATTTTTGCTGACTGAATAGAACCTCTCCATCTTTAGCTGCAAAGAATATAATCAGTCTGATTTTGGTTTTGACCATCTGGTGATGTCCATGTGTAGAGTCTTCTCTTGTGTTGTTGGAAGAGGGTGTTTGCTATGACCAGTGCATTCTCTTGGCAAAACTCTACTAGCCTTTGCCCTGCCTCATTCTATACTCCAAGGCCAAATTTGCCTGTTACTCCAGGTATTTCTTGACTTCCTACTTTTGCATTCCAGTCCCCTATAATGAAAAGGACGTCTTTTGGGGGTGTTAGTTCTAGAAGGTCTTGTAGGTCTTCATAGAAACATTTAACTTCAGCTTCTTCAGCATTACTGGTCAGGGCATAGACTTGGATTACTGTGATAGTGAATGGTTTGCCTCTGAAACAAACATTCTGTAATTTTTGAGATCGCATCCAAATACTGCATTTTGGACTCTTTTGTTGACTATGATAGCTACTCCATTTCTAAGGGATTCTTGCCTCCAGTAGTAGATATAATGGTCATCTGATTTAGATCCAACCATTCCAGTCCATTTTAGTTCACTGGTTCCTAAAATGTCAATGTTCACTCTTGCCCTCTCCTGTTTGACCACTTCCAGTTTGCCTTGATTCATGGACCTGACATTCCAGGTTCCTATGCAATATTGCTCTTTACAGCTTCGGACTTTGCTTCCATCACTTCCATCACATCCACAATGGGTGTTGTTTTTGCTTTGGCTCCCTCTCTTCTTTCTTTCTGGAGTTATTTCCCCACTGATCTCTAGTAGCATATTGGGCACCTACCTACCTGGGGAGTTCATCTTTAAGTGTCCTATCTTTTTGCCTTTTCATTACTGTTCATGGGGTTCTCAAGTCAGGAATACTGAAGTGGTTTGCCATTCCCTTCTCCACTGCTTATTGGGCTGCTGTTTCTGCTCACAGACCCTGGGTGGTGCAGTGTCCTTGGGACTAGACCAATTCATCATGGTAGAGCTGACTTGATGCCGATGTCAAATAATATCATTATATTAATAACAGGCTGGGGAAAGGGTGGAAATGGTAGAGTTCCTGTTTCCTAGTTCTCTTTCCTTTAAGAACTATATGACCCACAATCACAGCAGCGGGGGCAAGAAGCGGTGGGTAGTGGGCACTTTGGAAAAGTCTCCTTAAGGGTAGCAGTGCCTTTCTTAGCACCTTCTCTTCCACAGCCGATGGGGCCGCACAACTCTCAGAGGGCAGCTCCTCTTCCTGCTTTGTTTCCCATCCTCCTCCTCTTGTAGGAATTTGTGAACTTTTTCTCTCCACCGTGCCTACCCTTCCCCCTTCCCGCATGCCTTTATAGGAGTGCTTTCACGATAATATATATGTGCTTTCAGGATCATATATATATATATATATACACACACACACACACACATATATATATATCACTTTTAAAATAGTCTTTAAACCTATACTGAGTACTACCTACTGTCAAAATTTCTCTGCTTCCCTTTCAGAAGATTCCAGATTGCCTCTTTCTGTAGTCAGCCCCTCTCCCCTTCCCTCAGCCTTTCTATTCATGCCTCCATCTCCAGCTCCTCTGTCCCTTAAGGTCAATGAACAGAAATGCCAAAACCAGCCATTACTTTTCTCTCTTCATTCCACACTCCCCGCCCCTTGAAATAGTTCCCCCCCCCCAACTTTGGTAACTCCCTAGTTTTCTCCCTATCCTTTCCCACAGATAACACCTCCTCAGTCCCCTAGGTTGACTTTTCTTCCTATATCATCATTCCCTCTCTCCTAACTTGTAATACCTCTGTGTGATGATAGCTACCACTTTGGTGTCTTTATCCCTGACCTTTTCCTTCATCTCCAGACTGCTCTTTACCTACTTGATATATCTACTTGGATTTCTAACAGGACTCATATTAAATGTCTAAAATATTGATGATTACTCCCCAAATGCATTTTTCTGTTTTCCCCACATTAGTCTAGGGCACCCACCATTCACTCTGCCAGAGAGGCATCCTGGATTCTTCACCACCACCATTATCCAGCCCATCAGCAATGTCTGTCAACTCTTATTTCCAAAACCTCTTTCAAACCTCTTCTCTTTCTGTCCCCACAGCTCTTCAATTCTTGCTCCAACTTTGAGGGGGGAAAAAAAAAACACAAAACTTTTGAACATTTTTTCCCTCTGCTTTCTATCCTGTTCCCCTAGCAATTAGCAGTCAAGAATGATTGTCTCAAAACAAAAGTGACAAAATCAAAGTCACTTCCCTGTTCAAAATTCTGACTTCCTAGCACAGTGGAAAATCCAGATTTTTTAAAAAAGGTTACAGATGTGTACCTTGCTTACTGCTCTCAGAGCCCATCACCCCCATCCCTTATCTGTATACTTCAGCCACATTTTCCTTTTTTCTTTTCTTCAAACACACCAAGTTCATTCT